TTTACGTCCAAAGTAGTACCTCAGTATCTTATGCCTCTCTATACGGAAATTCTTTCATTTACCAGTATGTGTTGACCTACGTAAGTGAAGCATGTTAATTCACTATGGGTATTTTATGATTATATTCATGATTATACTAACTGACCCGGATAGCTTCGTAAGGCTTTCAATAATTTATAGGAGGAAAAGAAAGCTCTCCGTACGACATCAGGACCACAGCTTTTACCATAGTTAGCAATAGTTTGAAAAAAACTTCTGTAAATTGATCAATCAGCCATATCATATTTAATGCCAGCTGATATAAGTCATTACATCATCATCGTCAACCTATTAATGTCTCCACTGCTGGGGCACAGGCCTTCCCTATGGATGGAAGAGGGAGATTGGGCCATGACCCACCACGCAGGCCCAGTGCGGGTGCTAACGACTGCAGATGCCAACGTTAAGCCGTGCCTTCCGAAGCACTGACTGGCGCTACAAATTTAATCAATACAGGCAAGCCCATATTTCTCGACACTAGTCTTGTGTTGTTCGCAAACGAACTTGGTCGTAAGAGCGCTCCCAGATGTCAAATAAATACTGGAACTAGTTCCCTCATTCTGCGTTCCATAGTTCATTAGTTCGTGACCGTAGGAGCGAGAATGGCGTTAACTGAAAGTATGGTGTCAACTGATCGTTCGTCGTTACGAAATTCGTTACACGCAGGTAAAATTGACGACCTCCGTGGTCGAGTAGTTTGTACGCCGGGTAAATGGTGTCGCCGACTCGAGAGGTCCCGGGGTTCGAATCCCGGTGGGGACAGATGTTTGTGTGATGAATACGAGCATTTGTACTCCAGTCATGAATGTTTAATATGTATTTCTATAAAAATATACTTATATATGTACAGTATATGTATTCTATCCGTTACCCTAGCATCCCATAACACAAGCCTTACAGTGCTTACTTTGGAGCTAGGCTAATTGGTGTGTTGGACAAAAAAAAATAAAAGATTTGTAGGATTTTTCTAGGCCAGCGCTATGACTGACTCAAATATCTATGTATTCGAAAAGCTGAAAATAATAGAAAGGTATGCTACTACTATTTATTTGGATGTTTTTGCTGTTTTAAAAGTACAAAATTGTGGGTAAAAAGTACAGCATTCCATAATCTTACTTATCACATGCGGCCGGAGCAGTATCAAAACGAACGAACGATCGACTTACACTGATTCGAACTGGAAGCTGGAAGAGCGAACTAGTTCGTTTAGCGACGGCCACCTAGGTCTTTCTTTAAGTCGTAAGGGCCACCAGCCAGAGCTGGTGTTAAGTATTTGGAGATTTCCGCCAAATATTGTCAATCAGCCTTGGGCATAGTAGTTCGCAACTGAGATCGCTCAGTTTAGGGGTGTATTCCGAAATATACATCAGTATACTGGCCAGTGGTAATGACGTCACGAATCCGACGCCATATTGTACTGGTATGCTACCATATTATACCGACCTCCGTGGCCGAGTGGTTTGTACGCCGGGTTTCATGGTGTCGCCGACTCGAGAGGTCCCGGGTTCGAATCCCGGTGGGGGCAGATGTTTGTGTGATGAATACGAGCATTTGTACTCCAGTCATGGATGTTTAATATCTATTTCTATATAAATATACTTATATATGTACTGTATATGTATTCTATCCGTTATCCTAGTATCCCATAACACAAGCCTTATAGTGCTTAGCTTGGGGCTAGGCTAATTGGTGTGAGTGTTGGAAGTATTTATTTATATATGTAGCGTTTCAGCCTTCGCTAAGTAACCTTCGAACTTTCATGCACGTTCGGAAGAGCTGCGCACGCAATATATACGTATATATAATCATAATCTTTATTGCTTCATATGTGTCAACGGTGTTAGCAACTATCAAAATATGTAATCACTTAATAATTTTACATTAATTGCATTAAAACTGTACTTACAAATGAAATAAAACAAAGAAATCAATGAAGTCAACCTTTATTCATCAATAAAGAGACGGAACATAAATTCTTCACATTCGTTTGAATAAAACAAAACACTACAACTTAAGCTTAGATGTTACTACTACAGGTAGACGTATTGCGTGACAGAAAATTATCCTTATATTCATCATCATTTTGACGAAATACGCAAAATCCTATCAATGCGCCGTTTAAAACTACACAGCGTGTTTACTGCGATCGCATAACAGCGGTATTCAAAAGATTTTTACTTAAAAACTTCGAAGTCACCTATTTACTTACATAATGGTGTCGATTCTGTCGTGATTCTCTAAACTTTAAACTAAATTTAACATCAGTCTCTCCTTTTCTTTCTGTATAGAGAATGACAAGGATGCACTGTGGTCAAATTTAAGTTTAGCTTTAGAGAATCGACATCAATGATGTATTATTTTTTCAAACTAGTGAAAACATCTCTGTCTGTAGAACTAGTCTACCTGTAAGCAGCTTGTAATCAAAAGCATTTGCAACTTACCATGTGTTTGTGAAGTAAGTAACATACTGTTGACTTGACTTGAGTACTTACATAAAAATCATAAATCCACATTAGATTCAATATACCATTTCATTAGACACTCGTGACTTTGATGCAGACCTACGTGCATTTTATTAACTCATAGTAAAACAATTATTTTACTATTTTAATACTATTACACAACATACATAATACAATTTTTTGCACAAACATTTCCGTTAAGTATACTTAAATGGATATGATTTAAATCTAACAACATTATTATGGTAGAACCAGCAAAACTAGGAATTCTCGGATTATGAACCTTAATTTAAGCTAGAATGAACTCAAAATCAGTTGAAAAAATTTAACGTAGTGCATCGGGATAAAATCAAACTAGGACACATACAAAAAAAATACAATTATATGAAAACAGGCATAATCCTTGTATATCAGAATATGGTGATAATGATAAAAAGACAAAATAGTGCAGTCATATTATTATCAGTTTTGTTCATAGAAAAAGAACGGGATAAAAAAATGCGTTCAATTCTCGACCCTATTAACTGGGAAATCGGATTCTTCGTAGATGTCGCGATAGCTTTTCTAATATGCTCTTCACTGGGCTATTCCTATTTGGTTGCCCTTACAACAGACAACAATCTGTCCTTATCATGCTTTATAAGTAATGAAAAGGAGAGACTGATGTCAAGTTTGTCAACAAGCAGAAAAAGCCAAGTGCCGGCATTACATCCACTGAGAATAGCCTTCAGACCGTTATCATGCTTAAGAAATGCAAATAATTTGAATTAATTGATTCAAATCGACAATTCATAAATTCATTCATTCAATATCTATTAAAAAAAACAAAATATCAGGCCAGTTATAGCCTCGATGTGCAAGCGAAAATGGAGGTTTTAAAAAAACAACAATAAAGTATGTAATAAGTAATACAACGTATGCTACTTCCTACCTTATCTTCTTGCAGGGAAAATGGAAGATAAAACAATAAGGGTGCCGCTAAATTACTATTTATTAGAAAATAGTACACCAATACGCCTAAAGAGCAGGTCACAATAGGGGTGATGACGGGGTACAGTAAACGAAATTCTATTTAGTCCGTCAGTTAGACGATCAAAAAATAATGGACACGTACTTTTTCTTTGAGCAATCAACCAAAAAATGACAAAGTTATAGCGCGTCAAAGTTTGGGAGTGGGGGTTCGTGACGTCACTTTTAAGTGAAAATTGTACCAAAACATGACGTCATGCGGCTTCAATATATCTCTGCAATGTTTATATTATGTGAAAAAAGAAAAAATAAGTGTCCAATATTTTTTGATAATCTACCTGATAAACGAAGAAAAAAAATAGTCATCATCCCTATGAGAGCAGAGTAAAATGTAAAATTTCATGCTTCGCTTAGCTCTGCTACTTAAGCAAAACTTATGTTAGTTCTTAAAGTGACTTGCGCTTCACCTTAGAGCTAAAAGGAAACTAAATAGCATCGTCAAATGAGTTGATTTATAGAATTCATTTCTAAACATTTTCTTTCCCGTCTACATATTATTATATGTGTAACATTGAGTGACGAATGAATGAATCACATAGCACCCTCAATAGTCCGCATTAGTAAATTTTTATTTGAATTCGAAATCGGTTAAGTTTACAGCGTGTAGAGAGGGTGAACCGCGTTCTGATTGGACATGTCAGTGTGACGTCATGCTTGGCTGACAAATCTAGCGAAAACACGTATCGCCATTGGTCGATGTTTGGGGGCGTGTCACACACTTATCGTACATACGTAGTACTAGTGCGTAATTAATTTCCCATACAAACTGCAACCCTCTTTTCACCCCCATAAAGGATAGTAGTGATAGAAACTTTGCTGTCCTTTCCCAGGTCTTAAACTATATCTACACCATAGGACATGGCTAAGAAACTGCCCTTAACGTGTATAAATATTTTGCACAAGCCCGTAACTTTACAATATTTTTTATTAACTATTACGTGTTTGTTATTCTCATACAACTTTCGTGAAATAGTCAAATATTTAAAAGTATAAAAATTTACTTCATGACTGTTTCAAAAGTAAAATGTTCCGTTTTACATAATAAATGAACACAAAAAATATTTGTGTAAGTATATCGAAATAAACAATATTATTTCTGAACTCCTTCAAACTATGACATATATAGCCCTAATTTTTAATATTACAAATCACGGAAGGCCTAAAATAATAGTTTTTTTTATTCTGATCAGGCTTGAGACAAGGCTGTATGATAATTAATCCTTTAATTTTTGCAAATGGACAAAATAAAACTTCACAGATTTCCTGACAGGCCGACAATAACAAATTAATTGTATTTATTTTTGCTATAAAAACACTTTTTGTGAAGAGTTAATCAGAGAAATGGGAAGAAAGATTGTAAGAAAATGCGAAATTGATGACTCTGTAAATAATTGGCAACATCTTTTATCAACTGTAGTAAGGTAATAACATAGTAGGAGTCCTCATAATTTTCAAGATTGTGATTTTATCAAAAGTTCCTGAGCCTTTTTTCATAGAAATTATAAATAATCAGCCATTCACCATTAAATATTACTAAGTACAGTATTTATACATTGCCAGGGCAGTCGCTCATAGAAAAGTTTACCATGTCCTTTCATCTAAATCGGTTTAGTGTTTTAAGCGTGAAGAGGTTACAGACAGACACAATTTCGGATTTTATGGATTACTAAATATAGTTGGGCACAAGCCGGTGTCGTTTTATGCGGTCTTTAGTGGGGGTGCTTTGCGCAAAAGGTTCATCTGAGTCAATAATGCTATCTACGCTTAGAATTGTGTTTCCTCGAATCAACGGTCTGACGACGAATGGCGCCTGCGTCGACGACGTTCCGAACTGCCGCGACGCGGTCTAAGGGATAAATTGACAAATATAAATATGCAAATACTGGATGCATAATAAATAAATAATAAATTTATTTATTTGCCCAAACATTAGTACATAGTTAAATCATAAAAATAAAAATCTTAATGCCTAATAACATCGAAAATACTGCTTAAAACTAAAAAAATACAAAAAAAAGGACTTACAATACACTAGGTACCTAAACTAGGCCGAGATTGTACATATAATAGGTACTAGAACCTTCCATTTTAACAAAATTAACATAAAAGAAAAGTTTTACTAGAAAAAATCCACGCGGACCAGGCAGCGGACGGGACTCGAACCCGCACCCTTCGCAATCCGGGCGAATGCACTGACCAATTATATAATGCGAAAAGATGGCGCCTTGCAACTTAAGGCTAGGAAAATTTCGACGCGGCCATCAGGGCCGTGGTAGCATAATTGGTCAGTGCATTCGCCCGGATTGCGAAGGAAATTTTTGTCTGTTTATCTGTATGTATGTCCGGGATAAACTCAAAAAGTACTGCATGGATTTACTTTCAAACTTTGGCACGAATATTATTAAGAAGTCGGGTCAACATATAGGCTACATATTATCACGCTATCACCTACGGGGAATGAACAGTGAACCTTTATTTCTAACTAACTCCACGCGTACCTTAGATTAAAACAAAAAGGGTAGATACGGCACTAGCCTCACAAAAGTGATCCGCACCAATTGTGGTCCGCGACCCTAATCGCTTTAGTCACAACTTGACATGCAAACGACGTACATGTGAACGCCAAAAAGAAATATTGCTAATATTTTGTGTTTATATGATAATACAATGCCTAAGTGTGTTTTTAAAAAGTGCTCAAATTGCTCAAGAACTAAAAATAAAACCCACGGCATCACTTTTCATTCGTAAGTACTATAAAATATATTTTTTCATAAAAATTGCTGTTTGTTTTGAATCTTATTCGGTAGTGACGTCGAGTACTGGTCGCGTGATTGGTCGGTAGTGCAGTGACGCGGATCTCGCCGTCTCGTTCGCGCTGCCGTTGAAACTTACCGTGTTGTTTCGTTCGGGTAAGTGTCTGATTATATTACAGACAAAAATGCTTGGGTTTGAACTGTTCCAATCATTCCAACAGGTGTTCTATATTAAATAAATCATGATTGTATTGACGTTGTAACAACATAATGATTTGTAAATGTTGTTACATTATTCTTTTAATGGTGTGGAGTATTTTCGCTCGTTTTTCTCCGCAGCTAAAAATATGTCCAATAACGAGTGGTAGGGAAAGAAATGTTTGGACGATTCAAAAGTGTTGTACTATACATCCAATTTGAATAAAGATATATTGATTTCTGATTTCTGGTCGGTAATGCAGTGACGCAGATCTCGCCGTCTCGTTCGCGCTGCCGTTGAAACTTAACGTGCTGTTTCGTTCGGGTCGGTAATGCAGTGACGCGGATCTCGCCGTCCCGTTCGCGCTGCCGTGGAATCAGTTTTTGTTTGATGCAAGTATGAGCGTACCGTATCTACCCTTTTTGTTTTAATCTAAGACGCGTACGAAGTCGCGAGTGGCCGCTAGTGGTGTCAATAGTTACCTGGGGCTTTCGCTCCTCTTCCTGTCGCTGGAGCGGCGACGTCTACGCCCGCGCTCCGAGTCCGAAGAGCTGGCCGACGACGACCGCTTCTTTTTGACTTCTAAGCGCAAGTCGCATTTTTTTTAATATACAGGATGTTACAAAAATACAAATAAAGCTTGAAGGGCGTTGAACAATATCATTTAGGGAGACTTCTCTTATTTTCTTAAAATATTAGCATGAAGTTTTTTTTATAAAATTAGAGTAGACTCCTTATATGATGTACTTCAACGCCCTTCAAGTTTTATTTGTATTTTTGTAACAGCCTGTATAAACACATATATGTTTATTGTTTATATTATGCATATTTTTATTTAATTTTGGTTGATTGCAGATACATGAATCTTTACTAGACTTGTACCCAATTAGTGACTTTTCTCTGGTAAAATCGAGTTTTCATTCCTTTCGCCCGCTTTGTTTCATCACTTAGGATTGAAGACTATTTCATCAATGTTTTTTTCTTTATTTTTATGTTTTATTTTTGGTAACTAAGCCTTCGGCTGTTTAATGTACCTTTATAAATAAAATAAAAATAAAAAATCAAAGTCAAAAGGAGAATGGACGAAATGACATTGTCATAATAGTAAAAAAAAAATGTGTGTATGAACCCCACATCTAAAGTGACACTTCTTTTCTTAAATAACCTAATATTAGGCGGTGCATAAGGCAAAGGGGAATGGATAAAATTCTCGTGTGTGCGTAATTGAACTACTCCGAAACGACCGACCGATTTTCGTGAAATTTTGTATGCATATTCAGTAGGTCTGAGAATGAGACAATATCTATTTTTCATCTCTTTCAATGTAAAGGGTGGTCCATACTTATTTTTTTTTATTTTAGATTTTTTATATTTTTTTTCTTTATGATACATCATACAAAAATACATACAACCCTAAATTTTCCCCCTTCTACCAGAAACCCCTATTTTTTTATGCCAGTACGAAGTTCGCTGAGACAGCTAGTATGTATATACTTATATATATTGTCGCGTGTGACGCTCGTAGCGTTCCGCTCGTATCTACAAGCCTTCCCTATACATTACTTATTTACTTGCTTATAAGCTTACAATTTCTAGGTGCTGAACGCCTAAGTTATAAAAGTTATAAATAAAACAGACTTTATCAACACTTAATATCCGGTGGGATCGAATCATTTGCCTACCTGAATATATAAAAAAATATATATATAAATAGATCTCGTGTCGTATATATTGACCGCATTTAGAGTCAGATTTAAGTATGAATAAAGTCATAATACAGATCGTTTATTCGGAGTATTATAGTATGAACTTCTTAAACTTTATTCCAACCTTACCTGTATTTTTTTAGCTACAATAAATTTAAACAAAAGATTAATTCTCGTTCCCTAAAATTCAGCACCATTTTATTTAAATAGACTTGAAAATCTTCATCATCACCATCATTCATATTAATGTCCCCACTGCTGGGGCACAGGCCTTCCCTATGGATGGAATAGGCAGATTGGGCCCTGACCCACCACGCGGGCCCAGTGCGGATTGGCGGATGCTAACGACTGCAGATGCAGCCGGGACCAACGGCTTAACGTGCCTTCCGAAGCACGGACGAACTCGAGATAGATTTTTGGTCACCCATCCAATTACCGACCACTGCGAAAGTTGCTTAACTTCAACGATCGCAGCCGAACACGCTAACAACCTGCGCCATCGTGCTCCTTGAAAATCTTATATTAACATAATAATAGTGTTTATACAATACCTGCAGCTTTGCTCTCTCTGTCTCGCTGTCTCGATTTGATGAGACGGACAATCTCCATCAACTCTTTTCTAGCTTCGTTTCTCTCTTCCTCCTATAAAAAACAAGAAAGATAAACCATTACTGCTTACTACAATGATTTTTAACAAAAATATTTAGTTTTTCAAAGTGTTGCCTGAATGATGCTATAACAGTTACTCTTTGGAATCCTAGATAAATAATTAAAATGTGAATATTCTGCGCACCTCTTTTACAGGACAATTATAGTCTTTTTACTACTCTTTTTTTTCCTAAATGGCTTCGCACGGCTTGTGCATTTAGCCAATGTCGAATGTCAAAATGTTTACAAATTCTATAGCACTCGTGGTCAAAGTAAGTTACAGTCAATCAATCCCCCTTTCCCTGTGTTTCAGTAAATGTGTGGGGATTTACTGGAACCTCCCCGTGGACTTCTTGAGGGAACGTCGAAAGACACTTTCCGCTATTTTGTTTCACTTGCCAACACTTGTGCATGTTCCCGAACACTTAGCGGTTAATAATCCACCATTATTAGAAACTAACATCCGCCACAACACAATTTTTAACAAGAAAAACAAAACTGCTAAAGTGACGCTTTCCGATCCCGCCAAAAAGTACACAATTATAGTCTGTCCATTCATTTTTTTTTTTTGGTTAAGTTCTCCCTTTTCAGGGAAGGCAAGGGGAACAGTTCCCATACAGCCTAGTCTTAAGTTAAATTATTCTGTTTTTCTTTTTACATTAGAATGTCGGTGTGACGCATTCTAATGTTTCTTGAAGTGTTTGGCACGAAATGTATCGAGCTGGCTTTTTCGATAAGCTTCTGTGAGGTAGTCAATACTACAATAAAATTCTCACGTCCACTTGACCGGAATAGCGTATATTTTGACGATTCTACTAATTCTTCAGTTACGCAGACAGTTGTAACACAAAATCACACCAATTTTATTTCACAATATCCACTATGAACGAATTTAAGAATAATTAAAATAAGACGCCAACCACACTCGATGAAATCCCGCCAAAAACTCCTCTGTCCATTCATTTATTATCTTTTTGACAGATCGATCGAAGTAAAAATAGTGACACCCTATCTCATAACTCGTTCGATTTAAAGTTACAATCGATTTTATGCTACAACATTGTTCCATCGATTATAAGTATCGAAATTATTTTAGTTATCAAAAATACTGGTGTTTAATAAATTATTACAAAATTTCATTAGATTTATTGTTTAACCTAGTACAAATATTTGTGTGATGAGCACACTTGTTCTGTTTCTGGGCGTGATTTATCTATAAAATGTATGTACATATATACAACAAAATATTTTAAGAAGAATCTGTTACGTCTGAATAAATTAAAAATAAACTAAGAAGAAATTTATACAACGAACTTTATTTAATGTTAACATTTTAATTACTTGGTTTCTATCTTACAATTGGGTTGTACTCATTTATTTCTACCGATTATTTGTAATCTGTGGCATAATCTTAGTAATCATTATGTGTGGCACATCACTAAGTGGGCGGTACCCATCCATGTACAATATTATTTGTATGACATTTTAACGTAAACAATACAAAATTTCATGGGCGTCGATCTGTCAAAAAGATAATAAATAAATGGACAGACTAGGACTTTTTGGCGGGATCGGGAAACGTCATTTTAATAATTTTGTTTTTCTTGTTAAAAATTGTGTTGTGGCGAATGTTGGTGTCTAATAATGGTGGATTATTAATCACTTAGTGTTCGGGAACATACACAAGTGTTGGCAAGTGGAACAAAATAGCGGAAAGTGTCTTTCGACGTTCCCTCAAGAAGTCCACGGGGAGGTTCCAGTAAATCCCCACACATTTACTGAAACACAGGGAAAGGGGGATTGACTTGACTGCCAATCACTTTGACTTGATTTATTACTTTGACCATGAGTGCTATAGTATTTGTAAACATTTTAATACTTGACATTGGCTAAATGCACTAGCCGTGCGAAGCCATTTAGAAAGAAAAAAAATGGACAGACTTTTGTGATAGTAATTTATACATTTTCAATTATTTTTTGGATTTCCATGATGTCATAATTTTTACAAAATTTTGCATTTCCATATTCGTCACCTTGGTGATTTTGACCCATTTAATCTTTCATCCATACAATATACAAGAATAAATTTAAAGTTAATAATAAGTGCATAACTACACTAAAATCTCTCAGATTATATCGTTCTACTAAAATTCAAAAGAAGTAGGCGAGATGCTTACCTTGGTAAACACTACATCAATGAGAGATCCAGATGCCTTGCCAGCGCGCGTTGATTTATCAACCACTTGCTGCAAATTGAATGAATGTGTTAACGCCATCTATCCTTCGACGAGAGAAGCTGCAATCGGTCCATCATCATCGTCCGTTCATACATTCATCCCTCACTCATTAGCTTTATATACATTCACTCTCCCCCTTGCAATTCGAATTCAAAAAAGACAACGTACGCACATAATTCCAATAAGATCTGTATTTAACTATAAATAATATTCTACAATCTGAATATCCGATTTTTATTGAGAAATCCACATATAGAACACACTAAGCTATCGAACAGAATGAATGATTTATTTTTCTTTAACAAAGTAACATTATAATTATGTAAAAGGGTATTGAATGACAATAACAGTAAAAACAATTGAGTTCCTTGAGAGAACTGGACATTGTACTAGGTTACATAACTTGTGGTACGACCCCCAGGCTCAAATCCTCTTAAAGCCCGTTTGCTAGAGATTCTTTTGCATAATACATTTTTTTTTATCGTGATCTACCCTAGATTATGAGCGAGAGTATACAGGGTGTAAAAAAACCTATGGCAAAGACTAAAACTATGCATTCTGTACACCAAAACAAGTAATATTACAAAATATTATACGTGGGAAACATTTGTATTGTTTAGTTAAAAAAATATTTTTTTTTCAGTACGCAATGTATGGCTCTGCGCGCTACTGTGGCGCTACGCAAAGAATGTGCCTGTGTTATTTGTGTGCGTGTGTGTAAATGCGTCGATAAAAAGTTTCTAAACAAAGTTCTCCATAACCATAAATTTCCCAGGTATGGTCCAAAAGAAAAAAAATGATCGTCATGATGTAGAAAATACGTGGATTTCGACTTCATTAAAGGTTTTTTTACACCCTCTATACTAAGTATATCTTACATTAAATTGTAAGCACCAGTTATGGGAACGTAACAGTAATTAACAATAATATCTCCTAGTCTTAAGAAATAATCATATTGGTCAGAAAATCGTTGCTCTTAAATTATCTCATCATCATCATCAGCCTATTGATGTCGTCACTGCTGGGGCACAGGCCTTCCCTATGGAAGGAATAGGGAGATCAAATGCCCAGCACGCAGGCCCAGTGGGGATTGGTGGGTGCTAACGACTGCAGATGCAGCCGGGACCAACGGATTAATGTGCCTTCCGAAGCCTCCGTGCTTCGGAAGCTCCAGATAGTAAATTTTTGGTCACCCATCCAATGACCGTCCACTGCGAAATTTGCTTATCCAGCTCCTTCCTCAATTTCACCTAATCTATATATATATATAAAACTCAAAGGTGACTGACTGACATAGTGATCTATCAACGCACAGCCCAAACCACTGGACGGTGCGGCCTGAAATTTGGCACGCAGGTAGATGTTATGACATAGGCATCCGCAAAGAAAGGATTTTGATCAATTCTAACCTCAAGGGGATAAAATAAGGAATGAAAGTTTGTATGAAACTTTGTCAATTTTGCTGAGACTTTGCATGCAGGTATAAGAAGAATCATACATGAATGTCATTGTGTATATTACAAGCCTGAGAACAAAAACTGTAGTCTACACTTCATCTCTACACCGAAGCGAAGCGAGGGCGGGCCGCTAGTAATAGTTTAAAATGATTACCTTTTTCTTGTCATCGTCTTTGGGGGACTTGTCCTTGCTCTTGTCGCGCTTGTCCCGGGATGGGGACCGCTTACTGTCCCTCTTCGGAGTCCTAGACCTTTTAGGGAATGCACATTGAAATATTCAAATATGGGAATGCAATAATGATGACGTTTTAAAGTTAAAGGACAATGGGCAAAACGCACCCACCTCCGCCAACAATGTAATTAGTATGAATCGATAGATCTATGAAAAACTAGCCTTTTTTATTATGACACCGAAAAAAAAATATCCTGGGAGTCAAAAGATATGACACCGTAAAAAATATCCTGGTAGTCAAAAGATATGACACATGGGCATATTTAAGTAAGTAAATAAATTCATTTATAGTACCTTCATTTTATATATATATATATATATATGTATATATTTATATTATTAGTCACCATAATAATATGCCATATCGTACTATACAACCAGATATACGACAAAGTCTGCTAATCTATCCTGCGCTTGCACTTACTGAGCCACCTCAAAACGGTTTACGGGGGTTGAAGGACTTGCATTTGCAATTAGTCGTCTCGGCTTACTTCGTTGTAATTGTGCGCTCCCTGTCACTTTATTGGTTTTTATCTAACACGCTTTGGACATTAGAACACGGTTATCGGTTTTGTCAATTAGTATGGATGAACTGGAATCATGTTTTCACCGAAACGTGGACAAGGTTGGGTGATTTGTGGACGCTCCGTTTTACAAAGAAGACAATTTACTACAACGAACAGAATATTTGAAAAAATCCCATCCCATGCGGGGATTTTTGGTTTTACTCTAGTGCTGCAGAATAGCATAAGGGCACTCTTGAACCTTGTGAAGTACTCCCATAATATCTGAGCCCCTATGTAGTGTCGAATTAATTAACGAAATTAATTCCCTTGTTTCATTAATGTTCGTTCGTTATAGTACTTGTACCTATTTAACTTAAAATAACTTAAGACTACCGGGATAGAATTTGATGCGCTTTGGCACAGATGATCATGACTATAATACCTTTCAAACAAATGTAGTTTGAGCCGTGGCGGACGTGGGTGCAGAGTCCATACATTTTTGCCCAATGTCCTTTAAGTAATAGGTTTGAGACAGGCATATTGCAAGGCATCCTAGCCAACTCCCTATTGGAGGAGACTGGTGTGCTTTGCAATATGGTAACAAAAAATTATATGTTTATGTAATTTTAAGAAAAATAGGGTACTTGACAGTATTAAAAATAAAGTGCCATTTGATAGTATCTGTGTTTAAAATGAATATCGTCGAATTCTTTCTAACCTTTCTTAGGCTGGCAAGGCAGGCGCCATCTCTTAGCATTGTAGGTAACCCACAATGTCAAATGAATACCCTTACAAGTATTAAACGTTTGAAAGAAGAAATAGCAATTCAAGTTCGATTCGATTGTTATTCATCAAAAATTTTAATGAAGGACAATTTCTATTTTATACTCTGACATGTTTACTATTATAAAATATTCTTAAATCACACCAACCTGCCTCTGCTGCTAGAACGGGAAGACCGCCTCTTCTTCTTCTCCTTTTCCCTCTCATCTCTACGCTTCTCACTCTTATCCCTATATCGATCTCTTTCTCTAGAACGTTCACGGTCATCATCCTTATCCTTCCTATCTGATTTTCCGTCCCTTTCACTCTTCTCAGAATACTTACGATCCCTATCAGTTTTATCAACATGCTTCCTGCTTTCATCCTTGTCCTTCCTAACTTCATCTTTGTCACTCTTTTCGGAAAACTTGCGCTCTCTATCGAACCGATCACTTTTTTCGGACACTTTCCGCTCCTTGTCGTATCTGTCGCTTCTATCTGCGTGCTTCCTTTCGTCTCTTTCGTTCCTATGGCGCTCTTTCTCTTTCTTGTCCTCTCTCTCTTTCTCTTTGGGTTTCTCTTTCTCCCGGCGGATGTCGAGGTGCACACGTTGGTCTATCCTGTAAAATACACATTTACTCACTAATTTTTTCTGTCACTTAGATTTTCTTTTTAGAAGAGGAGCTCGATGGCGCAACTGGTTAGCGCGTTCGGCTGCGATCGTTGAAGTTAAGCAACTTTCGTAGTCGTCCGTCATTGGATGGGTGACCAAAAATTTACTATCTCGAGCTCCTTCGTGCTTCGGAAGGCACGTTAAGCCGTTGGTCCCGGTTGCATCCGCAGTCGTTAGCACCCACCAATCCGCACTGGGCCCGCGTGGTGGGTCATGGCCCAATCTCCCTATTCCATCCATAGGGAAAGGCCTGTGCCCCAGCAGTGGGGACATTAATAGGCTGATGATGATAGATTTTCTCACTATGGTCCTTCGAGCCGTATTCGTGGCACCACCTATCGATTGTTTTACAAACTTTTTTTTATGTTTAAAGGGCAACAAATAATCATACAGCCCGCCCGATAGTAAGCGATTAACATAACATATAGATGCTTGCGATACAAAAATATCACTCGCGCCAATGTCTACCCTGACCCAATCCCCTACCCCGTGGAGCCCAGGAAGCTTAATCACCGACAGAAACACAACACCACCGAAAGTGTAGTGTTATTTTACTGTGTTATTCTGAAAAGTGATCCTCTTATTATCAAATGTAAATTGCACGTTTCAAAATCCATGAATGAATGATCACTTTATTATACACCATGAAATTTTAAGTTACAATTAATTAAGATTATAATATAATAGTACAAACGGCGGCTTTATCGCTTAGAAGCAATTTCTTCCAGGAAACCGTATGTTAACTGGACCGTATGGAACATAGAGAGTGTGAAGTAGATGGTGTCATTTAAAGTCAAATTACCATTAATAATACTTATAAATAAGAATAACAAAAAATAAAATAAAATACAAATACATAAACATAATATATCTGAATAAAACTAGTGTGCGGATTGCACTTCCAAACCAGGAAGCAGTCACCGCAATCCCAGCCACGGTTCACTTATTGATGGCACATGCAAGATACGCGGCGTCCCACTATTCATGGACAACTCCGAAGAGAAACTCGGCCTGGCGTACACCAACATATCAGGCAGCTCCATCTCGCCAGGCCTGGCCGCTCTACATAATGGAAGCACCACCAAGACCACACTGAAAAGGGCCTATTACAACACCTTGCCAAGACGAAGCATAGAGGACAATTTATTCCGCCTCCTGAGAATAAAGACCAAAACCATCCTATTGTTCGAACAATCTCAAACCTCGAGAGGGTCCTCTTTCGCCCAGGCAGATAGGTTCTTGCGTCTGCTGTTAACAATACCAACAGCACGATCCAACACCATCAGCGTCGACTCGATGTGGATAGAGTACGATAGAGGAGAAGCCACGGATCTCCTAGCTTCAAAGATCCACAAGATCGTGGCCTATGAAAACAGGGGAGACGACCTAAGTTTCCTCCTTCCCCCCAAACGACCAGGGGGTAACATCGTCATGCCAGACCGCAGTGCGCCAAAAAACCCTACCGCCAGCGGATCGCAAAAGATGCAGGTCAGTGTGGAAAGAGCTAGAGACCTTCAAAGGGAGGAGGAAAAGGAGCGGAAAGAGCAGGGCGTGCCACAAGCTATTAAGGGTTTTATTGGCACAATAACCAAAGCCATCCGCTCTGCCCCCAAATCCCTACTGGACGCAACAACAAAACAAAAGGGATCACACAAAAGCCTGAAACACGCAAAATCGTGCACAGCTCAACTGCATAATAAAACAAGTAAACAAAACAGGACAAGGGAGGACATGGGCCAAGTGGTGGCGCCAGTGCTAGAGATAAGCGAGAACCGCCGGACCCGATGGGTGAACGCGCTCAGCGAGTTCCTGGGCACCCTGCGTGCATCCATGGAACTGCACACCAATAAATGCAGGAGAATACTGGAGGCTTTCCAATGGAACAACATAGGCCTCCTTCAGGAACTCCTGAAGGGCGAAGAAGCCGCCATTTATGACAATAACGCCCAAAAGGCCATATATGGGACCATGAAAGGACCATACATGGCGGCTTTCAGCGGGACAGAGGGTTTTGTCGAAGCGCTCAGAGACCACAACGGAACGGAACTGAAGTTTAATATCAAGCATCATGACCCCATTGTCGTCACAGCCAAATTCACAAAAGTGATGCTGGACGACAAAATCCTAAAGATGGCGGACACAGTATTGAGCTCAGGGACGGAATCATGGACTGTGCCCGAAATCGAATGGGTCAACGGGGTCCCGGGGTGTGGGAAGTCAACATGGGCGGTAGAAAGCTTCGACCCGAAGAGCGACCTAATAATAACGACCACGACTGAGGCAGCCGGGGACCTGAGAGGGAGGATATCGGCAAAGTGGGGAAACCACTTTGCAAGACAGGTAAAGACGATGGCATCCCTCCAGGTAAATGGATCAAAAGAGAGCTACAACCGTCTCATAGTTGACGAGGCTCTCATGAACCACCTTGGCTCCTTAGTCCTCATCACCCGCATAACAGGAGCACAGAGGGTCGTACTTCTGGGCGACATAAATCAGCTGCCCTACATTGACAGAGAAAACCTGTTCCGTCTGAGGTACGAGACCCCGCATGTTGTGGCAAATATCACGCGAGAGCTGCTCTGCACCAGGAGAAACCCCCTGGATGTCGCGTTTGCCCTGAGCGCTGTGTATGACGGGATATATTCCGACAGACCCCGGATCCGGTCGCTCCATCTAACAGGATATACCGGGGCAAATATCCCACCCCTTCTCCCAGATACACTGTATCTAGTACATACACAAGAGGAGAAGGGAACCTTGAGCGCCAAAGGCTATGGAAGTGGGACTGGATCCAAGATCCTTACCATACACGAAGCCCAGGGACAAACATGCAAGAACACCTGCATCATAAGAACCAAGGGGATTCGAACGAAACTGCACGACAGCATCCCGCACGCCGTGGTAGCTGTGTCTCGACATACACACAGCTGTTGCTACTACACAGACGACAGCGACGACGCAGTAAGCCGCTTCATAAAGCGAACGACGGGCGCGGCCACGGAGACAATAATCCGTTATAACACCAAAAGTGCGATACGTATGAGAGACTATGACACTGTAAATATAATGAGAAATTTGACTGAAGTCTGAAACAGCAAAATCTGGACCGACCTCCCCACACCGGACATGACATATTTTTACCATAAGGAAATAACACAAACATGTACTAACATAAATTAAGGAAACAAGTAGACTTAAGTAAAACTATACCTACATGTTATTTAGCAAAACATAGCAGTAAATGTTGTACCATATAAACAAATAAATTTAAATAATTACCAAAAAGATAGCGAAACTCGGGCCCTTGCGTGCGATGAGTAGTAGAGGGAACTCACGCAGGAGCCCGAGACCGCAAAAACATAACACAAGGTACACAAATAGAATAAACTGAAAATCCTTTTGTTCCACAAAGCATGTACAATAGATAATAAGTGAAAAAAAAAAAAAAAAAAAATGAAAAAAAAAGCGTATACATATAATAGAATATTCATTGAAAAGGGGATGGACAATATGTCCAAATTTATATTAGTTAAGTAGACATAAGTGAGCATGCCGCATGTTTGCATGATTAAATATAAAAGGCCGCACTGAGTGCACAAACAAATGTATATAACAAAACTTAAAAAAAGTCAAACTAAATAATGGCAATACAATACAATACTCCATAGGCGTATGCCCACGCCTATGGAGTAATTGTATTCAAAAAAAAAATTAAAAAATAAAACTAGTTTTAACGGGTTAGTGCACGAAACTCTATTTATTGCCGTTTCGCAGCCTTTTCAGGTCTGCATCGTCAGAATACTGATTTTTATTTAATTTTGTCGAGCTAGGCTGCGAAACGTCAATAAATAAAGTTTCGTGCATTAACCCGTTAAAACTAGTTTTATTTAATGAGTGATGTGCGTGAAAACCTAAGAAACAAATATAATATATCTATATATAAACACACTAACTACTAACTACTTTGGATGATGTGACGACTTGCTAAAGTGTCAAGTAATGTTCTTTTAACAATTTTGTAAAACAAGCTAATGTTTTTTTCCGTTTTTTTCCGGCAAGGCATTCCACAAACCTGTACAGCCTATATTACATGCTTTCAAAGACAACAATAATAAGAAAAACTTACACTTCTTTAGGTTTATCCTTCTTGAAAGTACTTCTGAGCAAACTGAACGGGTCGTATTCGTTGGTAGACTTGATTTCCGGAGGCTTCGAGGGTGCTTCTGCGACGTGTGCTACCGCCGAAGACAGTTTAGGGGCCGCTTGTACAATCGACGACATCCCACCTCGACGCATGTCGCGATTATCACGATTATCACGATTGTCACGGAAATCTCGTGAGAAACTAGAAAAGAATACATCGAATCTAATGAGGGCTATCGCGTATGAATCCGCCGCTAGAGGCGCTAGTGTAGCGTGAGGTCTCCGAAATGTCAAATGTTATTGCTTGTAGGTTGACTAAGCGGGTTTATTTCTAATTAAAATAATGTTGTGAATAATTGGTAACAATTCAGCTTAATTATGGCAAATATGAGTTATGGGGCAATGAATGTCAGTTATTAAAAATTTGAGCTTAGAAAAATGATTATGTTCATATTTTTTCCGAATAAAACGGAACTGCGCGTCACTGTGGCATGGCCTATTATGTTTAGGATATAGTTCTTTTGTGTTAAAATACCATCTAAATGTAACCTTTGATTTCATGTGCGTATTAATAAACTTTAAAAGTTACAATTTAGGACCACACTCAACAGTGGCGCCATCTGGTGAGGCAGAAAACGGTAGCCCTCATTGCTGCAATCTACCTCCAATAATTGTATCGATATAACTAATTTAGAGTATAACTTGGGCACCCAACCCTGCGAGCGCAGCGATTTGGGGTCGATTTTTTATATAATATAGTTTTATTTTTAGTTTGATATACCTAAGTATTTAGTTTATTTAGTAGTTTTAATCCATTTTGTGCTTTTAAATAATATATTATTTTAGGAACTTTAGCTATTACTTAGTTTATTTTTAAATCTGTATCACCATTGTTAGTTTGTAATATATATTAATAAATGCATTATTAGTATCGATATTATTTTATAGCACAGTGTGACCTAAACCCGCACTTTACGCACGCTTTTCCGTGACCTAAGTTGCCTATTTCTGCACGGTGTGTAAATGAATTGACCAACTTTACTCATGTAGAAAAAATAAAAGGAAACACATTTAAATGTCATTTGGAGCTTAAAAACTCACTGCAAACAAATGACAAATTAGCGATAGGTTAGGGATTTTCAGTGACAGCCAAAACAAGGAGAAACGGTTAGCTATAATTCATTCCGCGAGAATTGTATCTTTGTTTAATATATTGTTATGCCAATCAAGGAATAAACGTTCATGGATACATTGAAATTCTATTTTGTTGTAATGATATTTGATTTTTTCCTTTTGAAATATACTTTCAAAATGGTAATCTGAACCGGAATTCTTTCTTTTCAGAGTTTGACTTGCAGTCTGTATTGCAATTCTTTGTGATTGCAATACATGAATTTTACTTTCAAAACACTAATCGCATCCCCAAACCCCCCCTCTTGCCCGCGTCCGGGGCGGGTTTATGTCACACTTGCTATAAAATAGTATACGATACTTGTGGTCTAAGTTGTCTATTACTGCACGGCGTTTAGCACGGCGCTAACTTCACGCCGTGCAGTAATAGGCAACTTAGGTCACGCGTATCGTAATGTACTATTTTATTTTTTCGGTATACATTACATATTACAATTACTATTGGTACAGACTTATCAATAATTGAAAGGGACGATCAAGATTGCACCACTTAACATGCATACACATAAAGTGTAGTTAGGTATATAAAAAACATATATTCAGGTAGATTTATCAAACAACGATGGACACATATTTTTTTCTTTTTTCTCATCATTACAGAGACATATTGATTTGTAATGTCTCATGTCGACTTCTTGGTACACTTTTTCAGGACTTATACCAAAAAATTAAAAAAAAAACATCATCATCATCAGCCTATTAATGTCCCTACTGCTAGGGCACAGGCCTTCCCTATGGATGGGATAGGGAGATTGGGCCATGACCCGCCACGCGGGCCCAGTGCAGATTGGTGGGTGCTAACGCCTGCAGATACAGCCGGGACCAACGGCTTAACGTGCCTTCCGAAGCACGGAGGAACTCGAGATAGAAATAAATATATAAATAAATATAAATAAATATTTCGAACACTCACACCAATTAGCCCAGCCCCAAAGTAAGCACTGTAGGGCTTGTGTTATGGGATACTAGGGTAACGGATAGACTACATATATTGTATGTAAGTATATTTATATAAAAATACAATATTAAATATCCATGACTGGAATACAAATGCTCGTATTCATCACACAAACATCTGCCCCCACCGGGATTTGAACGCGGGACCTTTCGAGTAGGCGACACCATGAAACCCGGCGTATAAACCACTCGGCCACGGAGGTCGTCGAGAAGATTTTTGGTCACCCAACCAATGACCGACCACTGCGAAAGTTGCTTAACTTCAACGATCGCAGCCGAACGCGCTAACCACCTGCGCCATCGAGCTCCTCAAAAACGGAAACGGCTCGAAAAAAATAAAGCGAGTCAAATATTGCGAGTGGGGGGGGGGGGGGTTGTGTCTTCACTGCTGGGAAAAATTGTACCAAGAAGTGACGTCATGCAACATTACTCAATCAATCTATTTCTGTAATGATGAGAAAAACGAAAAAAAATGTGCGTTTACAATACTTTTTGATAATCTACCTGATATACGAAGAAAAAGAGTTAGTCATCACCCTTATTACCCGACGACCTCCGTGGCCGAGTGGTTTGTACGCCGGGTTTCATGGTGTCGCCGACTCGAGAGGTCCCGGGTTCGAATCCCGGTGGGGGCAGATGTTTGTGTGATGAATACGAGCATTTGTACTCCAGTCATGGATGTTTAATATGTATTTTCTATATAAATATACTTATATATGTACAGTATATGTATTCTATCCGTTACCCTAGCATCCCATAACACAAGCCTTACAGTGCTTACTTTGGGGCTAGGCTAATTGGTGTGAGTGTTTGAAATATTTATTTATTTATTTATTTATTACATCTTGATCAACGATATGAAAAACCTAGATACACCACGTGAACTCAAAATGTGTCCCAATCAAGAAGTGCTTGAATACCGCTTTTTGACTTGGTTGAAATGTCAAGATGCCGCAGAGCGCCGTGAAAAATGCGAATAATATTTTTTTTAGTGTCGGTTTTTCCACAGGGATCTAATCAATGTTTGCGAACTTTACGCATTTGAAGCAAATTTTGTGTAAAATTTACGATAAACGGGAAAATGGGAGTTTTAACGGGTTAATGCACGAACTTTATTTATTTATTGACGTTTCGCAGCCTTTTCAGGTCTGCAGACCTCAGAATAAATTATTAGTCTGATACGTTAATACGTTATTAGTCAAACAAACAAACAGAATAAATTATTCTGACGATACAGACCTGAAAAGGCTGCGAAACGTCAATAAATAAATAAAGTTCGTGCATTAACCCGTTAAAACTAATTTTATTTAATGAGTGATGTGCGTGAAAACTTAAGAAAGAAAATAATTTGTGATATTTTGGAATACATCAGATTTAAAGTCGTCGCTTTTCCTCGCACTCCGTACCTGCTATATAGCTAACAGCGCATTCAGAATTATGCGTAGAGTCAAAGCAATAAAGTTTATATTCTTTCGCCTATAGCAAGAAATCGTAAAATTTTTCGAGCTTGCATTTAGATATGTCATAACTCCTTGACGCATGCGTTTAAATTAAGACCTTATTAACTATGCAGTAAAGGTTAGCTTTATTGTGAAAATGATGCCTTATATTCTTTTTAACTACGCGATTCATCTTATGAAGCTCCATGGTCGTTCAATGTACTTTTTGGACAGGTTTCGGCCACGATTTTGTTCGTGGTGTCTATTCTTGTATTCTTGCAATTAGGGTATTAAATATCGTTGATCCTAATAGACTATAGTTTGTAATTATACGGATTGATATACTTTCTTTAAAAATAATCACTTACCCCGGCCTGTCCATTTCCTTGTCATGTTTAGGGTTGACCCCCAACGCTAGCGCGAGCATATCCGCTCGACTTTCCGGGTTCTTCATAGGCACATCCCTAGTGTCCCGGTTATCCCGGTTGTTCCTAAAGTCCCGGGGGTCCCTTACGTCCCTATTGTCACGACGACGCATGTCCGGCTTATCGAAGTGCCTACGTTTGTGGGACACGTCTGGGTCTTCTGTTGGTAAAGGTATAAAAAATATATACTGATTAGAGAACAACTCCTTTTTTTAAAGTCGGTTAAAAAAAATTACATACTCTTGTAGGAGTCTAGTCTTTGACTTATTTATGAAGAAGTAATATTCAACAATTACGATGGTAATTTAATTCAATAACAACGGTTTTACTAGAAAAATATAAGAGATAGAGAGAGAATTTTTGTATTAACCATTTGACACGAGTATTACAAAAAGAATTAAAAAACACATTTACATTAACATAAAAAACAAAATTAGAATTAGAAAGTAACTTAAAATATCTAAAACAATCAATCCTCTAACTTTAAACAAGCTTTGCTAAGCAATACTGTGCAACTTAAGTAGCACATAGGTTTCGGAAATCAAGAGAATATCTCTAGACCCGAAGCAATATAGAACCGTTGGTATTTGCAATGAACCGACCGAGAATCAAATAAGAGACTCCAGAGATTGGGTCATGAAGGTACAGAGATGTGTCAGTCAGTCAATAGATGACGCTGATCATTTCTCACTTTCGATCTATATATAAAAGCCAGATCGCGCTAACAAAGTTATTCATTGCTCTCATTATATTAATGCCCAGTAACCTACATAAATACAAAGCTGTTGTAAAAGAACTTACCATCATGCTCTACGTCTTCCTCAAAGTCCAGCGCGTTATAATCTATCTTCTCGTGTGTAGATCTCTCTGCAAACGAAAATGAACTCTATCAAAACCGAATACAATTCAATTCACACGTAACACAGCCTGGGCTTCACATTGGTCTATGTTTTGGACTAAAGTTTGGCTTAAATATTGTTTCATATCAAATTTATAAAGAACATTCATTTCAAACAGTATTTATCACGAGGGTCTTAAACAGGGATGTTGCGGATGCAAATTTTCTCACATCCGCGGACGCGAATGCGGATGCGGACGCGGATACCAAACCAAAAACTTAAGTGTGGTTAGGTTAAAAAAAGACAGTACCTAATATTAATCCTTTCTTTATTTAATAACTAGCTTTTGCCCGCGACATCGTCCGCGTTTTCGTTTTTCGTAAAAAAGTAGCATTTGTCCTTCCTCAGGGTTCCGTGGTTTTGATGTGACAGACAGATTAACTTTCGTATTTTGGTAGGGAAATATATTAAGTCAATCCACAATACTGTTAAAAATATCGCAATAAGGAACCGCAGAATATTATTATTATCACTGTGCCCCGAGCCCGAGTAACTCCTTGTATGGTATTATGTTAATGTATTGGTAATATTGTTTAGATCGCTTTCACATGAGGCTTAAGTACATATAGAATGAAAATATATCTATCAATTCGACATTACATTATTATTTTTTGCATCAATTTGACATACATTTTAAATTTTAAATCAAACAATGATTATTAATGGCACTTTTTTGTATTGATTATTCATTGATTATTAATTATATTGTGCTTTTCTGAATTGAATGTTGTGTGTGCTTGTAAAGGCTTGCATATATGTCTGAGAATAAGTATTATTTTAATTTTTAATGTTTTTATATGATTAGCTGTAAATAAACCTTTTTAATAAATAAATAAAAATAAAAAAATACTTCAGCGCAAAGCTTCCGGGTAAACTACGTTGAAAGCTTGACCGGTCCGGCACGTGAACATAAAAATTTCTAGGACTGCTAACCCGGGAAAGAGCGACATAACTGACCATGTGAAAAACAACTGACACCGAGATCTACTCCAGCAACACGAAAAGTCTGCCCTTGAGCCTTATTTATTGTCATTGCATAACACACTGATACTGGGAATTGCGTTCTTTTAAAATGGAAGATTATTTGGTATTATGGGAATTCTGGGAATAAAGATGGTTTCTCCTGCACCGCAACCTGTTAAAATTTGAGCCCCGATTACATTTTGTTGCAACTGGGTTACTTTTAAGCCGAGTTCCATTGCAAATTTGTGGTGGTCTTAAATTTCGGAGCAGAATAATCGGAATGCCAATTTTTAAACAAATTTCATGAGAAGGAAGTCCGGACATATTTTAAAGAATTTAAAAATTCTATCGGGTAATTAGTGGCTTCTTGTTCATCGGCCATTCTATTTATTGAACTATAAACTTTGCTTTCCCCCTGGATATTCGACAGTATTTTATTATAAATCTCAGATGCCTGGTCATTGCGAGGAGTTAAAATGGACCTTTCGCATAGCCAAGAATTGTCCTTGTTTAATATATTTGTTACGTCACCGTAAACTGACGATATAAGATGTTATTGGGTTTGCACTATACAACAAAACTCAGGCGTCAGAATACATTTTCCTTGGTGTAGCAGTGGATAGTTATCTTTAGGTATTTTCTTTAATAATATATCAGAAAATTCATGATCATCCGGGTTATCTACAGTTCTCACTCGCATGTTTATAGTCAAATGCACCGATTGTATATCACGCCACAAATAAGAGCTTTTCAGGCAAGCCCTAACCTCATCAGCTCGGGTTCCCCGTGGTATTACCGGTAAGGTTTGTCGAAAATCACCACAAAATAAAACTGTGATACCGCCCATTGGTCGATCATTTTGTCTTATATCCTTTAAAGTTCTGTCTACCGCTTCTACTCCTTTTCGATGGGCCATCGTACATTTATCCCATATGATTAAATTATACTTTGAACGAATATTTAAACACTACCAAAACAACTAATACGTGTTCCTAACTTTAGCTACCTTACACTTAAAATCTAAGTGACTATTTAAACTAAAATATTCTTATAGAATTATAACCAGAAATATATACAACTCACAACAAAAAAGAAATGAAAATAAAGCTGAAACGCCTGTGCAATACTATCTACCTATACCTACTTCACTTAAAAATAAATACTTATAACTACTTTAATTAATAAAAGTACCTACGCTTAATAATTTTTAATTTGAACGAATATTTAAACACTACCAAAACAACTAATACCTATTTTACAAAATAACAACAAAAGAAATTCAAATAAACTATTTAAAGACTAAAAGTCGCGTTGATAAGCACGGTTTCTCAATATTTCTCAATTATTGTCTGTCAATAAGGTCGAACGCTCTGAACGCATCAACAGCCAAATATTGAAGCTCGCTCGCTCTCTTTTTTTATTTTTTTTGTTTCCTCCCAGGCGGGGGAGCACGTGAGAAATCCTCATGGATACCCTACAGCCGGCTGCAAGGTTATGTCAGACTCGTACTGACTAAAAAACACCCGTAGGGGCTGCCTCTGGCCGGGAAGGCCTCTAAGGCTTCATCGGAAGCGATCGTCCCCCAGGGGGGGGGGGGGGGGGGGAGCGACGCAGAAAACAGATTTAGACAGCTCGCTCTCGGACCTCCCGCCTTTTGATACCCTACCGCCGCCGCGACCCGTGTCGAGCGCGGCAACCGTTACACAAAAATAATCCTTATAGCACGTATTCACGTGCGACGGCGCGATGGCTTATTTTTTTCATGTATAAGTTTGGTGTTTCTATACCGATTTCTATGTTTTGTTTTTATTGAATAGGTAATAATGTTAACTTTTTTAAATTAGGGATGAGTTAGAGTATTATAAACGTAAGAGTAAACAAATATGATCAGAATGCTCCGAACTGCTAAGCTATCGGGAGTTACACGTGTTATTGTGAGTCAACCATAAAAGATAGACATATGCTGTTGCGAGATATTTTTTAGACAATTTTATGTAGAATATTTCCGTCATACATGATTTCTATGTAACTTTAATCATTAAGGCTGCACACGCGACGGAACCTTAAAAAATGGAGTAACTTCTCCCGTTTTCCCAACATTTCCCTTCACTACTCTGCTCCTATTGATTGTAGCGTAATGAAAAGTATACTATAACCTGCCCAGGAGTATGAAGAATAATTGTACCAAGTTTCGTTAAAATCCGTCGAGTAGTTTTTGTTTCTATAAGGAACATACCCACAGACAGACAAAAAAATTACTGATTGCATTTTTGGCATCAGTATCGATCACTAATCACCCCCTGATAGTTATTTTAAAAATATATTTCATGTACAGAATTGACATCTCTACAGATTTATTATAAGTATAGATAAAGTAGTGCGTGAATTACTATTACTCATTCATATTTTTTTGTTTTCTGTAGCTGCTTTTCCTTATTCGCGTTTACAAACAAAGTAAACTATTCGGGGTGCATTGATTTTAGATGAATTTTTAGCGACGATGTAGTTCGACCCTTTCGAGAATATATTATACTACATATATTTTACACAGAGATTTATCCCGGTCATTTTCAGCAGGATTGAAATAGGTCCAAATTCCACTTTACGTGGGTGGTGGCATTTTTAACAAAAAATACAATAAAGAAGTGATGAACTTGTGATTGGATATTTACGACAAAACAACAAATGTTTACAGCTGCGCTGGAAGACGTTTCCAAACTTTTGGACTGGAGCGGACTTGGCATCAACATAAACGGCGAGTACATGACGCACCTTCGATTTGCAGATGATATCGTAGTCATGGCGGAGACCATGGATGACCTTGGCACAATGCTCGGCGACCTCAGTAGGGTGTCCCAACAAGTGGGTCTCAAAATGAACATGGACAAGACAAAAATCATGTCGAATTCCCATGTCGTACCCACTCCAGTGACTGTTGGGAGCTCTACACTGGAAGTTGTTGACCAGTACGTATACCTGGGACAAATAGTCCAACTGGGTAAGTCCAACTTCCAGAAAGAGGTTAATCGACGAATCCAACTAGGCTGGGCAGCGTTCGGAAAGCTACGTAGCATCTTCTCGGAACATCTACCGCAGTGCCTCAAGACGAAAGTCTTCAATTCGTGCGTGTTGCCAGTGATGACATACGGAACCGAGACGTGGCCGCTTACAATGGGTCTTGTAAGAAGGCTCAAAGTCACCCAAAGGGCAATGCAGAGGGCTATGCTCGGAGTTTCTCTGCGTGATCGAATCAGAAATGAGGAGATACGCAAGAGAACTAAAGTCACCGACATAGCCCACAGAATTGCAAACCTTAAGTGGCAATGGGCAGGGCACATTGCTCGCAGGACCGATGGCCGTTGGGGCGGAAAGGTCCTCGAGTGGCGACCGCGTACCGGGAAACGCAGTGTTGGCAGGCCCCCCACAAGGTGGACCGACGATCTGGTAAAGGTCGCGGGAAGCCGCTGGATGCGGGCAGCATGAGACCGATCGTTGTGGAAATCCATGGGGGAGGCCTATGTCCAACAGTGGACGTCTTTCGGCTGAAATGATGATGATGATGAACAAATGTGCGCGTCAAATCTTGTCACAACACAAACAATAGCGAGGCGCGTCACCGTTTAACAAAATTAGGGTATCACGCGCCACTCCTCAGGAGCTCTACTCTCTTTCTCCGAAACTAAATTTCGGTAACGAACGAATTTCAAACGAAATTTCGCCAGTGTTTCTACTCTATTTCATTTTCGAACAGGCACATTAACTTCGGAACTAAAACAGTTTTCGTGAACGAATGGAATGAGTCATGTTTTTGAGTTCTTTTTATCTCTAATTTTAAGAAAACGTTTTTTTACTTGGAAACAATATAGGTAGCTTACGGCAAATTTTTTGATGACATTGAAAGAACCTTCTTTGACAGTGTTAGCCGACTAATTTGTAGAGTCGATACAATCAACTGTATGTCAACCTCAATTTGTCGTTTAATACTTTGAAGTATCGAAATTACAAAATAAGATAAAAAAATGGTTTATTTGTTAATTTTACATGCTAAAAATGTTTCTCGAGCTAAGCAGCTATTATTAAAAATACACTTGCAAACATTTTAGGCCTAATTAAAACAAAAATCTCAAAACGAAAATGAAAAGGTAACACTTTTCATTTCGTCAATTTGAGGTTAAAATTTCGAACAATTATCTGTCAAATTCAACTTTTCCTTCGAAAGTTTTGTGAATTAGAGTAGGTTTGGAGAATTTAATTGTCAAACTATTTACGGACGAACGAATTTTCGAAATGAAAAGGAATCAGAGTAAGGAGCGTGCGAAATTTCGATCGAAATTTCGTTTTTCGTTGAAATAGAGTAGACCTTCTGCTACACATATGCATCCGCAGCAGCTCCGCATCGATTTTTGCGGGTGCGGATGCGAATATTCGCAACATCCCTGGTTTAAAATACACCAATCGTGATAAATACACGTACAATAGAACTACAAAAATTCAACTTTCATCATAACATCCCTTTAATGTCCCTACTGCTGTGGCATAGGCGTTCCCTATGGATGGAATAGGGAGATTGGGCCGTTACCCACTACGAGGGCCCAGTGCGGATTGGTGGGTGCTAACGACTGCAGATGCGGCTAGACCTATTTGAAACAAAATGGCACCCAGTTTGTGTTTTAAAACACTACACCAACAATTTAGTTAAGTTATCGCAAAGCTCATTACAGATGGTTTTGAATACGTATGACCCATTAAAACAATTTGTGACTTCAAGTATGTCGGTTTGTTTCGGTTTTTCTAGCTAAACTCTGTTAAATAGGTTTTTTAATAACAATAAAATTATTATGATATAAACATGTAGGTAGATCTCAATAAAATAAATAAACAATAAAAATACAGCAATAGGGTATTAGACAGTATTACAAATAAAGTGCCAATTGTTAGCATCTGTATTTAGAATGAATATTGGCAGGGATTTTCACTATTTTTACAGAAAAAATATTCATAATTTAAATAAAACTAGTTTTTACGGGTTAATGCACGAAAACTTTATTTATTTATTGACGTTTCGTAGTCTTTACAGGCTACGTCGTCAGAATAAAACTTTTATTTAATTTGTCGAGCTACCTTCGAAAGACTTTTATTGAGCGTTTGGTTATTTCATTGTTCGATTTTTAAGTTTTATTGTCTATGTATGAATTTATTATTTAATTTACTTAATAAAGTATTTTATTTAAAATTCTTGTTTGTAATTTTGAGTTTATTTATTTTATTTTTATATATTCATAATTTTACTAAAAACCCACGATAAAGATAATAGTTTTCTTGCCTTTTGTCACGTGACCCAAAACGCTTGGGATTGGTGGAGCCTAAAATGACGTCACACGCAAGTAATCTTCCGGTTAAAGTGACATTTGATTGTATGGTTTGACGTTTTAATGACAGTCGTGTGACGTCACACACCAGTGAGATGCCATATTGTTCAGAGATACGTTTTTCGCGGCAACTTGAAAATAGAGTTTTTCATTTGGTTTTTTTACCGAAATACACAACATAATGATGAATATCCACTTTTTATGGATTCTATAAACATTAGTAAATAACGTGAGATCGTTTTCTAAAATTTGTCAAAAACCCTATTGGACTGTGATAAATTTAAAGTAGGGATTTATGACAACAGGAAGACTGTAGGATTGTAAAGCGGACCATTAGGTCCGCTTAATCAGCAAGTTAGTAACGAGCAATTTTTAAGAGGTCTGATGTATTGAAATTGTATACAAACCCAATGTGGTATCGCATTCTCCTTCTTCCTTTTCTCTAGGCTGTTCAGGAGTTCCCGGCTCTTGGTCTCCTGTTAAAAAAAAATGTGTGTGTCAGCTCCGACGCACGACTGGAGTTTACTCCTTAAGTTCGATAGTTTAACCAGACGCAAAGAGTTTATTTAACTTAAAAAAGATTGATACTGTATGAAAGGATAAATTAACAAATTAATGAAAATAATATACATATATAAATATATATTTATTCATTTCATATAGGTACATTTATTATAACTAATCGACGAAATATTTTACATTAAACTTTTTACAATAGTCAATTTCAGATTTGCATAAATATATCATTAGGAATGTTGATAAATTATGTAATTATTATTATCAGACTATTATCATTTTTTTAAATATTAATTAAATCAACATTGTCTGCATTATTAATTACAGTGACAAGTGGTTTATGGTAACTAAAATAAGACACATGGACGTTTGTAGATACGTGGTTCACGAATCTTGAAAATACCGCATCAATGGTTGTGCCATACCTCGTTGTCCCCATTGCTCTATCAGAAACTATATCTGAATTCAGTTCAGATTTTAAAAAAAATATTAATGTTAATCCGTCATCTTTGTTTGTCAAAGTTGCGCGACATAGGATGCGCACCAAAAACGTAACGAGGTCATTCATCGGTAGATTTTACTCCTCACATTTTTCTCATACCAGGCCCCTTATATATGCAAATCGATTCTTAAGGAGTAAACTCCAAAAACAAATATTAAACAATAACCTAAATATAGATCTTACAAAATCCATTTTGGCTGCTAACACAGAAAGCTCAAAGTATAAAACTTACTATTATATTTCTCTGCCCGTTTCTGCCTCATTTCAGCTTGATGTTGCTTCTCGGAGCGCTCTTGCTCCACACGCTGAAATAACAACGAATTTAAGTTGATATTCTCATCACAAACTTATGAGACAAATCTGTGGATATTCGTTGAATAATATCCGCCTTATTCCAAAACGGCGGACTAAAGTTAGTCTTGGTTTAAACCGAATGTTGTCTTTTTAGCAAATAAAAGTGACCGCATCAGTTTTAGTCCAGATTTAACTTAAGTCTAAGTTTTGTGTTAGACATTGATGTCGATTTTGGCATGATTCTCTAAAGCTAAACTTAAATTTGACAACAGTGCATCCTTGTCGTTCTCTATACAGAATGAAAAGGAGAGACTGATGTTAAATTTAGTTTTAAGTTTAGAGAATCACGCCAGAATCGACACCAGTATATGTTTAAGCTGCTGTGTAAGATAAACCTATGCTGCTTAAGTCGGCACTTTGTAGTGACCTTAAATAGACTTCGTTCTGGACATTATCCATGTAACAAGTTTGGACATTTTATGAAAAAAATTGAGTCTCCCAACTGTTAAGTATGCTGTCTTGTAGAAGATCTCCAGCACTTGTTGATAGATTTTGTCCAGTACCAGAATGAGAGACAAGAGTTTGTTATCAAATGTAAATTGAATATGTCAGACATTGGTGTGTTTCACAGCATTCGGGCCCAACCGGTCTCGGAAGAGGCCAGAATGCTGTATCGCTTTGTATGTCTGCCGCGACTTTCTTTCGACAATAACATATTACGTTAATTGGCTTAGATGATTTGTTAATTTATATAAGTACACGATGGGACTGACATGTCTGTAAAGATAAAAGTCCTTTAAATAAAGAGAAAAAATAAAACCTTTGCTACACAGGTTACTCGAACTACTTAGAAGAAACAGAAACAATAGGGATGATGACTGGGTAGAGCCACAGAATACAGAAAGAGGTATCTACCTCGTTGTGGGCAGAGCAGGCGGGCCATAGTAATGTGTGAGCAAATGCTTATAGCTTGAAAAAACTTGGTTCTGGTTGCGTCATTGCCCTCGGGTGTGAGCGCGGATTGGTTCGATTGTTTGACGTCGCGTCGTTGGATTGGCTATCTGTTAGGTGGAAATGTAGTGAGGGCGAACCGGCGGCATCAATTCCTGTATAAACGGACTATGATTACCCCTCTAACTCTCACCTCGATGTCGACCAGCTTGATGATGCGGCGCTGCGCCTGCCGCCAGTGAGGCGGTGACGCTGCGATCAAAGTTAACGTCAGCGCTAGTTGTCGATGTCGGACAGCTTGATGATGCGGCGCTGCGCCTGCCGCCAGTGAGGCGGTGACGCTGCGATCAAAGTTAACGTCAGCGCTAGTTGAGTCTCACTCACCTCGATGTCGGACAGCTTGATGATGCGGCGCTGCGCCTGCCGCCAGTGAGGCGGTGACGCTGCGATCAAAGTTAACGTCAGCGCTAGTTGAGTCTCACTCACCTCGATGTCGGACAGCTTGATGATGCGGCGCTGCGCCTGCCGCCAGTGAGGCGGTGACGCTGCGATCAAAGTTAACGTCAGCGCTAGTTGAGTCTCACTCACCTCGATGTCGGACAGCTTGATGATGCGGCGCTGCGCCTGCCGCCAGTGAGGCGGTGACGCTGCGATCAAAGTTAACGTCAGCGCTAGTTGAGTCTCACTCACCTCGATGTCGGACAGCTTGATGATGCGGCGCTGCGCCTGCCGCCAGTGAGGCGGTGACGCTGCGATCAAAGTTAACGTCAGCGCTAGTTGAGTCTCACTCACCTCGATGTCGGACAGCTTGATGATGCGGCGCTGCGCCTGCCGCCAGTGAGGCGGTGACGCTGCGATCAAAGTTAACGTCAGCGCTAGTTGAGTCTCACTCACCTCGATGTCGGACAGCTTGATGATGCGGCGCTGCGCCTGCCGCCAGTGAGGCGGTGACGCTGCGATCAAAGTTAACGTCAGCGCTAGTTGAGTCTCACTCACCTCGATGTCGGACAGCTTGATGATGCGGCGCTGCGCCTGCCGCCAGTGAGGCGGTGACGCTGCGATCAAAGTTAACGTCAGCGCTAGTTGAGTCTCACTCACCTCGATGTCGGACAGCTTGATGATGCGGCGCTGCGCCTGCCGCCAGTGAGGCGGTGACGCTGCGATCAAAGTTAACGTCAGCGCTAGTTGAGTCTCACTCACCTCGATGTCGGACAGCTTGATGATGCGGCGCTGCGCCTGCCGCCAGTGAGGCGGTGACGCTGCGATCAAAGTTAACGTCAGCGCTAGTTGAGTCTCACTCACCTCGATGTCGGACAGCTTGATGATGCGGCGCTGCGCCTGCCGCCAGTGAGGCGGTGACGCTGCGATCAAAGTTAACGTCAGCGCTAGTTGAGTCTCACTCACCTCGATGTCGGACAGCTTGATGATGCGGCGCTGCGCCTGCCGCCAGTGAGGCGGTGACGCTGCGATCAAAGTTAACGTCAGCGCTAGTTGAGTCTCACTCACCTCGATGTCGGACAGCTTGATGATGCGGCGCTGCGCCTGCCGCCAGTGAGGCGGTGACGCTGCGATCAAAGTTAACGTCAGCGCTAGTTGAGTCTCACTCACCTCGATGTCGGACAGCTTGATGATGCGGCGCTGCGCCTGCCGCCAGTGAGGCGGTGACGCTGCGATCAAAGTTAACGTCAGCGCTAGTTGAGTCTCACTCACCTCGATGTCGGACAGCTTGATGATGCGGCGCTGCGCCTGCCGCCAGTGAGGCGGTGACGCTGCGATCAAAGTTAACGTCAGCGCTAGTTGAGTCTCACTCACCTCGATGTCGGACAGCTTGATGATGCGGCGCTGCGCCTGCCGCCAGTGAGGCGGTGACGCTGCGATCAAAGTTAACGTCAGCGCTAGTTGAGTCTCACTCACCTCGATGTCGGACAGCTTGATGATGCGGCGCTGCGCCTGCCGCCAGTGAGGCGGTGACGCTGCGATCAAAGTTAACGTCAGCGCTAGTTGAGTCTCACTCACCTCGATGTCGGACAGCTTGATGATGCGGCGCTGCGCCTGCCGCCAGTGAGGCGGTGACGCTGCGATCAAAGTTAACGTCAGCGCTAGTTGAGTCTCACTCACCTCGATGTCGGACAGCTTGATGATGCGGCGCTGCGCCTGCCGCCAGTGAGGCGGTGACGCTGCGATCAAAGTTAACGTCAGCGCTAGTTGAGTCTCACTCACCTCGATGTCGGACAGCTTGATGATGCGGCGCTGCGCCTGCCGCCAGTGAGGCGGTGACGCTGCGATCAAAGTTAACGTCAGCGCTAGTTGAGTCTCACTCACCTCGATGTCGGACAGCTTGATGATGCGGCGCTGCGCCTGCCGCCAGTGAGGCGGTGACGCTGCGATCAAAGTTAACGTCAGCGCTAGTTGAGTCTCACTCACCTCGATGTCGGACAGCTTGATGATGCGGCGCTGCGCCTGCCGCCAGTGAGGCGGTGACGCTGCGATCAAAGTTAACGTCAGCGCTAGTTGAGTCTCACTCACCTCGATGTCGGACAGCTTGATGATGCGGCGCTGCGCCTGCCGCCAGTGAGGCGGTGACGCTGCGATCAAAGTTAACGTCAGCGCTAGTTGAGTCTCACTCACCTCGATGTCGGACAGCTTGATGATGCGGCGCTGCGCCTGCCGCCAGTGAGGCGGTGACGCTGCGATCAAAGTTAACGTCAGCGCTAGTTGAGTCTCACTCACCTCGATGTCGGACAGCTTGATGATGCGGCGCTGCGCCTGCCGCCAGTGAGGCGGTGACGCTGCGATCAAAGTTAACGTCAGCGCTAGTTGAGTCTCACTCACCTCGATGTCGGACAGCTTGATGATGCGGCGCTGCGCCTGCCGCCAGTGAGGCGGTGACGCTGCGATCAAAGTTAACGTCAGCGCTAGTTGAGTCTCACTCACCTCGATGTCGGACAGCTTGATGATGCGGCGCTGCGCCTGCCGCCAGTGAGGCGGTGACGCTGCGATCAAAGTTAACGTCAGCGCTAGTTGAGTCTCACTCACCTCGATGTCGGACAGCTTGATGATGCGGCGCTGCGCCTGCCGCCAGTGAGGCGGTGACGCTGCGATCAAAGTTAACGTCAGCGCTAGTTGAGTCTCACTCACCTCGATGTCGGACAGCTTGATGATGCGGCGCTGCGCCTGCCGCCAGTGAGGCGGTGACGCTGCGATCAAAGTTAACGTCAGCGCTAGTTGAGTCTCACTCACCTCGATGTCGGACAGCTTGATGATGCGGCGCTGCGCCTGCCGCCAGTGAGGCGGTGACGCTGCGATCAAAGTTAACGTCAGCGCTAGTTGAGTCTCACTCACCTCGATGTCGGACAGCTTGATGATGCGGCGCTGCGCCTGCCGCCAGTGAGGCGGTGACGCTGCGATCAAAGTTAACGTCAGCGCTAGTTGAGTCTCACTCACCTCGATGTCGGACAGCTTGATGATGCGGCGCTGCGCCTGCCGCCAGTGAGGCGGTGACGCTGCGATCAAAGTTAACGTCAGCGCTAGTTGAGTCTCACTCACCTCGATGTCGGACAGCTTGATGATGCGGCGCTGCGCCTGCCGCCAGTGAGGCGGTGACGCTGCGATCAAAGTTAACGTCAGCGCTAGTTGAGTCTCACTCACCTCGATGTCGGACAGCTTGATGATGCGGCGCTGCGCCTGCCGCCAGTGAGGCGGTGACGCTGCGATCAAAGTTAACGTCAGCGCTAGTTGAGTCTCACTCACCTCGATGTCGGACAGCTTGATGATGCGGCGCTGCGCCTGCCGCCAGTGAGGCGGTGACGCTGCGATCAAAGTTAACGTCAGCGCTAGTTGAGTCTCACTCACCTCGATGTCGGACAGCTTGATGATGCGGCGCTGCGCCTGCCGCCAGTGAGGCGGTGACGCTGCGATCAAAGTTAACGTCAGCGCTAGTTGAGTCTCACTCACCTCGATGTCGGACAGCTTGATGATGCGGCGCTGCGCCTGCCGCCAGTGAGGCGGTGACGCTGCGATCAAAGTTAACGTCAGCGCTAGTTGAGTCTCACTCACCTCGATGTCGGACAGCTTGATGATGCGGCGCTGCGCCTGCCGCCAGTGAGGCGGTGACGCTGCGATCAAAGTTAACGTCAGCGCTAGTTGAGTCTCACTCACCTCGATGTCGGACAGCTTGATGATGCGGCGCTGCGCCTGCCGCCAGTGAGGCGGTGTCACTGACCGCGAGCGTGACCGCGACCGCGAACGCGACGGCGTGCGGTAACGCTGCGAACAAAATCAATATTAAATGACTTGAATATAAGTCGGAGGATGACTTGATCGAATCGAATTTTTGCGAAGATCCTAGTGATTCTGTGAAAACGCGAATAATTAGGCAATGCCATCCCCTACTGCTGTATACTGCTGAAAATTTATTCAATAAAGATTCTTTATCGGCTGCAATCGAAAGAATGCCGGTGCATATAAATTGATGTGGTCACTCCGTGCGCCATCTGTAAATAAGTCTGCTGCGCAAGAGCAAACACAAATATGAAAATGCCTGCGCAAGGTTCGTATAGACTTTAGTTGCGCAAACAAACCTTTTACATTTCAAAAATTTCCAATGCAAGATCCTGCCTGCATTTCCTACGCAAAGAAATATTCGATCACAAAAACGATATAACCCCCAAAACAATAAGCCCACACGGCAGCAAACGATCAACCCGAATGGATTTTAAACTGATGTATCCGAACATGGGTTAGACTACTAGACGACCTGTAGTTAGCAGGTCAATGGTCGTTAGAGGAATCCATTTTAACTAAAAAGAAATCAATGTAACTTAAAAAAGGATTTTTGCAAAAACCCGAGTTGCTTCAGTCAGATTGCGAAAGGAAGTATTGGTTCATTACAAATATTCTTGGGTTTCTGTTCACACTAGGTTAAGATAGGTTGGTGTTGGGATCAAGACGTAGGATCCGAGCGAGTGAAGCAAGCGTGCCGCGGTAGGGACCGAAAAAGCGCCATAAAAAAAATATAGATAACAGGAAGATTGGGCCACGCCATCGGAATCATCTAATTATCTGCGTTTTTGGAAAATACCTAGTATATTATAGTAATATAAGTTATTTACGGGATTGTTACCATGTACCTTGTTTTCAGCGAGTTTCCGATATTTCGGCACTGTTGCAAGCGCCATGATCACGGAGTAACTGAAGTAATTGCGGGTAGGCTGTTATTGGCAGACATATCGGTCTACCCTCCGACGAAGTCTTTTATTGCGTTCGATACCCGTACCACTGTTCACATTCTCACTATTCACTCGAAACTGTTCTCGACACACAACACTTACAGTATCAGATCGCGACACGACACTTTTTTGATTATTTTCGGTTTTACACATACGAACCACAGGATTCTAGACACTTTAAACCGGAAGCTCGCTAAAAACAAGGTACATGGTAACAATCCCGTAAATAACTTATATTACTATGTATAATGTTAGTGACCATGAAAGTTTAAAACAATATATACCTAGTATATTTGTTTGATTAAACACGCTAATCTCAGAAACTACTATTTTTTTTATATCTATATATAGTTGCCTATTTATCGAGGAAGGTTATGAGCTATTTAACATCGTGATACGACTAATAGAAGCGGAGCATCAATGAAAAATGTTGCGAAAACAGGGAAAAAATGTTCCTTTTCAGAGCTTTTGTTGCATGCGCTGCGAAAATGGTTAAAGTTACACAAAAATCGTGTACGAGTATGACGGAATTGTTTCCCTTTAAAAATGTCCATCTTTTAAGTTTGACTCACTATAACCTTTTTTCCTCAAATTAACTATATTCATCGACTGTTTGGCGACACGAAGTTCGCCGGGTCAGGCTAGTTATTCATAAATGAGGACTTATTTATTCATTCCAGTTACACATGCCCGGCAAGTCCTTTATAAAAACATTAACATGCATAGAAGGTATTCCATTAAAATAGGGTACTTAACAAGTTATAGAAAACTTGATATACATCATTCTGTTGTGTATTTCAGTAAAAATAACCAAATCAAAAACTCCAGTTTCAAGTTGCCGCGAAAACGTTTCTCTGGACAATATGGTGTCTTACTAGTGTGTGACGTCACACGACTGTTATTAAAACGTTAAAATGTAATGTCACTTTAACCGGAAGTTTACCTGCGTGTGACGTCATTTTAGGCTCCGCCAATCCCAAGCGTTTTGGGTCACCTGACAATAGATAAGAAAACTATTATCTTTTTCGTGGGTTTTTAGTAAAATTATGAATATTATTTTTGTAAAAATAGTAAAAACCCCTGCCAATATTCATTCTAAACACAGATGCCAACAATCGGCACTTCATTTTCAATACTGTCAAATACCCTATTCGATAAAATGAGAAAAAGAGAAAGAAATGTAAAGTCAAATAGATAAGTACATAGAAACAATGACTTATCTTAAGAGATACTCACAAACACTCCCCTCCCTTTGATAATCCTTCCACTTCGCGTGTAAGAGTGACGCTCTCGTTCGCGATACCGCATCCTAAATATAAACGACAGTCAAACATATATTTTAACAACGGTTATCTGTGATTATACAACGTAACGTAACCTGGAGGAGCTCGATGGCGCAGGTGGCTAGCGCGTTCGGCTGCGATCGTTGAAGTTAAGCAACTTTCGCAGTGGTCGGTCATTGGATGGGTGACCAAAAATTTACTATCTCGAGCTCCTCCGTGCTTCGGAAGGCACGTTAAGCCGTCGGTCCCGGCTGCATTTGCAGTCGTTATCACCCACCAATCCGCACTGGGCCCGCGTGGTGGGTCATGGCCCAATCTCCCTATTCCATCCATAGGGAAGGCCTGTGCCCCAGCAGTGTTGACATTATTAGGCTGATGATGATGATGATGATACAACGTAATAGGGGTGATGACGGGGTACAGTAAACGAAATTCTATATAGTCCGTCAGTTAGATGATCAAAAAATAATGGACACGTATTTTTTCTTTGGGCAATCAACCAAAAAATGACAAAGTTCTAGCGCGTCAAAGTTTAGGAGTAGGGGCTCGTGACGTCACTTTTGAGCGAATTTTCGTCATGCGACTTTTCAAATCAATATATCTCTGCAATGTTTATATTAAGTGAAAAATGAAATAATCTACCTGATAAACGAAGAAAAAAAAATAGTCATCATCGCTATTACTGAGAAAAAAAAATTTCGGCCAATACCCGAAGCACTATCTTTGACAGGATCGTATTGGTATCACCATCTTCAAAGTTTTTTATGAAAACTTAGCAGCGCCCCTACCGGCGGTAAGAACAAGCTAATAACTAATTTTTTTTCATAGAAACTTTGACATGACGATACGAATACTTTCTCGCTAGTTGTTCGTGCTTGGTGTACAGAACAATATAAATATAAGACGTTTCTTATTGTAAAGACTCAACAATAAGTAGGAAATTATCTAAATTTAAATTGACAAGGTGAAGGAAAATATAAAAACCTAGCGGCCCGCCCTCGCTTCGCTTCGGTGTAGAGCTGAAGTGTAGACTACAGTTTTTGTTCTCAGGCTTGCATTATACACAATGACATTCATCTATGATTCTTCTTATACCTGCATGCAAAGTCTCAGCCCGATCGGTTTAAAATTGACAAAGTTTCATACAAACTTTCATTCCCTATTTTATCCCCTGTGGGGTAGAATTGATCAAAATCCTTTCTTAGCGGATGCCTACGTCATAACATCTACCTGCATGCCAAATTTCGGCCCGATCCGTCCAGTGGTTTGGGCTGTGCGTTGATAGATCTCTATGTCAGTCAGTAAGTCACCTTTGAGTTTTATATATATAGAAGAAGATAGATTGAGGATGAAAGTATAAAATATTTTTGTCCATATAATATAGAGTCGTCAGTCCTATAGCTATTACTTAGGAAAATTAAACATTAATTAATCAGTCTGACTTACATCAGGAATTCACAGAAACTGCAAAACAAAATTATTAATTTCAAACTTTATATTGGGGCCGAGAGATTTATAATCTTCCATCTCTCAGAATGTCGTATACCTTTCTCTGTCCCTCCTGGGGTCGGGCCTATCTCTGTCCTGGTCCCTCCCACCTCTCATGAGGAATCTGTTGGTTGGAACTTCTGGTATTTCCTTGGGGTCTATTTTGGACGTGGTTACTAAAGGATGGGAGGGTATTTCTCCTTCTTCTTCCTCTTCAGACTGACCAGATTGATGCCTGCAAATAAATTATAGAGTTACACAAAACACGACTATTAAATTGTATGTCATTTAAAGTTTGTGTTAAATCTAATTTCATTGCAAAGAAAAAGACAACACCAACGTGTGATACCTACGATACTTAAAACTTAATTCATATTTCTGAGTGCAGTTCAATTTCTAGATCATCAAAAGTTTCAACAACAATTTGCGTTAGGTATTTGAGTTGATTTGGTTTTCAAGTTATTCCTATGTTGCCGGCAACGCTATTTCCTGATATTATACGAGTACAACATAATTACCTCATTAAGTAAAGTCGAGATGTGGAATATATAATGTATGAAAAACGTCAACGTGCGTGCGTATAGGAGTTAAAAAAATGGGACCTGTTGGGATATAAAATTAATCAGGTTTTATTTAAGTAGTAGAAAGATCAATGCTGTGGCCTTATGTTGTAGTGCTATAGCGTTTACTGAATAACGACCATTTTGGTTATCTAATATATAAACTCGTGTGTAATTGAACTATTCCGAAACGGCTCGACCGATTTTCGTGAAATTTTATATGCATATTCAGTAGGTCTGAGAATCGGACAACATCTATTTTTTCATCCCCCTAAATGTAAAACCTTAATTTTTTTTGGACAAAATTTTTGTTTTTATTTTTTTATCTAAATTTTCACCTTTCTACCACCAACCCCTATTTTTTTATGGCGGTACGAAGTTCGCTGGGACATCTAGTAATAAGTAATATTGCAGGCCCATATATTATATAACTTGTTACGATTCCAAGTAGAAGGGAATACGCCGAGTTAGCAGTCACCCACAAAACAGTGCACACGGCCCTAAAAGCTGATTCAGCGAAAGATCGCATATCGGTCGCTGCAATTGACGCAACTGGCGTAAACTGCTGACTACGAGCCTCGTGCCTCCACCGCAGCGGGCTACGTGACCGGGCGAGGAGCGTCACTTCGATTCTTACATCGATCGAGTCGTGACTTAAAATAACTAGATTATATTTTAATTGTAATAATTTTCCTTGTATCGGAAATTAAAGTTAGTTTTCGTAAAATAAAATTGTTTTTTTTTGAGGCCTCCGGTCGTGGCTAACGTAATTAACTACTGTAATAATTGCTCTATTGTTATAAACAATAATTGTTTGTTTTGATTTGAAAAGTACTTAAAACTTTTATTAAATTCTATTATACGTAATTATATTCGAACCTTTTCTTCTTCTTCTCCTTCTTGTCCTTCTTCTTTTTTTTGTCCTTCTTGTGAGATTTCTCAGAATCAGCATCGCTATCTTCTGCCTCCTTCTCTTTGTCGGTTTTACGCTTTTTTCCTGAAACAAATATTGGTATTGCATTATATTTCGCTTAAAAAAACAATATTCTAAGTACATAAGTTATTAAGTAAACTGCACTCTCTTTTCCTGAGGCCCAAGCAGGAATTTTGACAATCAATCATCGTCAAATTTTGTATGGAAGGAGCCAGTTTTTTCCTAAATCCGATAGGGGCGCTGCTTACGATTCATAGAAAATTTGACGATGCAATACGATTAAGGAACTGTCACAATTCGAGCTTGTAGAAGGAGAGCCTAAGTGGGGATTTTTGGATTTACTCGAGCGCGGCAAAATAACATATGGGAAGCAATCTTGTACCTAGTTAAGTACCCCTACTATACTCTTGAGCCATCTCCTCCGTAGCAAAAACAAAATTTCAACAAACGGCCATGACTTTTGGACGCGTCCAAATCGTCAGTATTTTGAATAGAAGCTCTTTTTAGGGTCTACGTAACATCCCTTCTCAATGTCTGACGCGGTCGATTTTTTTCCCCCATATTCTACCCCTTCGTACTGCCGCCCCCATAACATGCAAACCGCGGCTAATCAATATTTCTTCTGTTACTAGAAACGTTACATGAACCCTCTGTCCATTGTAAAGTCAAGAGAAAAAGAACCATCTATTGCTAGATTGAACCTTATGTTTATATGTAGAGAGGTCACTCATCCTCCTTCAGTCGCACTAGCAGGCCGCATTTGGCGACGGTGAAGTCCTGCAGAGATGTCTCCAGTTGTTGCTAGATTGAACCTTATGTGTATGGGAACAGAGGTCACTCACCCGCCTTCAGTCGCACTCGCTGGCTGCTGTTGGCGACGGTGACGTCCTGCAGAGATGTCTCCAGTTGTTGCTAGATTGAACCTTATGTGTATGGGAACAGAGGTCACTCACCCGCCTTCAGTCGCACTCGCTGGCTGCTGTTGGCGACGGTGACGTCCTGCAGAGATGTCTCCAGTTGTTGCTAGATTGAACCTTAAGTCTTTAGACACAGAGGTCACTCACCCGCCTTCAGTCGCACCAGCTGGTCGCAGTTGGCGACGGTGACGCCCTGCATAGATGTCTCCAGTTGTTGCTAGATTGAACCTTAAGTCTTTAGATACAGAGGTCACTCACCCGCCTTCAGTCGGACCAGCTGATCGCAGTTGGCGACGGTGACGTCCTGCAGAGATGTCTCCAGTTGTTGCTAGATTGAACCTTATGTGTATGGGAACAGAGGTCACTCACCCGCCTTCAGTCGCACTCGCTGGCTGCTGTTGGCGACGGTGACGTCCTGCAGAGATGTCTCCAGTTGTTGCTAGATTGAACCTTATGTGTATGGGAACAGAGGTCACTCACCCGCCTTCAGTCGCACTCGCTGGCTGCTGTTGGCGACGGTGACGTCCTGCAGAGATGTCTCCAGTTGTTGCTAGATTGAACCTTAAGTCTTTAGACACAGAGGTCACTCACCCGCCTTCAGTCGGACCAGCTGATCGCAGTTGGCGACGGTGACGTCCTGCAGAGATGTCTCCAGTTGTTGCTAGATTGAACCTTATGTGTATGGGAACAGAGGTCACTCACCCGCCTTCAGTCGCACTCGCTGGCTGCTGTTGGCGACGGTGACGTCCTGCAGAGATGTCTCCAGTTGTTGCTAGATTGAACCTTAAGTCTTTAGACACAGAGGTCACTCACCCGCCTTCAGTCGCACCAGCTGGTCGCAGTTGGCGACGGTGACGTCCTGCAGAGATGTCTCCAGTTGTTGCTAGATTGAACCTTAAGTCTTTAGACACAGAGGTCACTCACCCGCCTTCAGTCGCACCAGCTGGTCGCAGTTGGCGACGGTGACGTCCTGCAGAGATGTCTCCAGTTGTTGCTAGATTGAACCTTATGTGTATGGGAACAGAGGTCACTCACCCGCCTTCAGTCGCACTCGCTGGCTGCTGTTGGCGACGGTGACGTCCTGCAGAGATGTCTCCAGTTGTTGCTAGATTGAACCTTAAGTCTTTAGACACAGAGGTCACTCACCCGCCTTCAGTCGCACCAGCTGGTCGCAGTTGGCGACGGTGACGCCCTGCATAGATGTCTCCAGTTGTTGCTAGATTGAACCTTAAGTCTTTAGATACAGAGGTCACTCACCCGCCTTCAGTCGGACCAGCTGATCGCAGTTGGCGACGGTGACGTCCTGCAGAGATGTCTCCAGTTGTTGCTAGATTGAACCTTATGTGTATGGGAACAGAGGTCACTCACCCGCCTTCAGTCGCACTCGCTGGCTGCTGTTGGCGACGGTGACGTCCTGCAGAGATGTCTCCAGTTGTTGCTAGATTGAACCTTATGTGTATGGGAACAGAGGTCACTCACCCGCCTTCAGTCGGACCAGCTGGCCGCAGTTTGCGACGGCGACGTCCTGCAGAGGGCGCGCGTTCCTGTCCACGGGTAATGCCTCCAGTTGTTTCACCAATGCAGCTCCACCCACCACTTGCCCGAAGACTACGTGGACACTAGGATAAGTAGATAATGTGATCAGAAACTAGGATAGGCGAAGAATAAAGGACTTCTCCTACTGCTTAACTAGAGGCAATGTTGTTTTATAACTTGTTTTAAGAGAGGTATGGCAGATTACCCGTTTGAATTGGGGCGCCATTCTGGGGAAGTAATCTCCACCTTACAAAAGACCACAGTAATTTAGCACTACCTTTTGGTGGTGATAATGGTGTTGTGTTAGGTTCCAGGGCTCCAGCTTTGTATCGTAAACATCTTAAGACTATGGTGGTGACTTTAAAAAATCTCAATCATTCCTATCTTTGATTGATTCTTGATGTGTCAATAAAATGGTCGAGTCCAATTCATAAAGTTAAAATGACGTTGATAGACTTTTGCACGATAAGCGATAATGTAACAGCTAATGCAATCTGTTTTTCATTAGAATTTAAATTCGCCATAAAAAGTTTAATAATATTTGTTATAATAATGTTCTGCTGTACCTACACTTGGCAGGATGATGGCTAAAATGACTAATTAACTTTCTGTTAAACATTGTAACTATCGCAACATAATTAACAATAACATTTAAAATATAATCCATTCAACTTCCTCTGTGACAAAAGGTAAACAAATACACCAATGTTTCCAAAACTTGTTATCAAGAATACAGATGGTTGGTGTGACCAAACCCAGACTGGTTACAAAATTTAACATTTCAATGTAAATAATTTGCTTTATCACTACTTTTCTTTTTAGTAGTATTATAATGCCTTCAAAGTTTGGCAACAGCTACAGTTTCTTTGTAACGTCAAATTTTAAGTAATAGGGATGATGACTAATTTTTTTTTCTTCGTCTATCAGGTAGATTTTCAAAAAGTATTGGACACGTATTTTATTATATGTTTTCTCACATAATATAAAGATTGCAGAGATATATTGATTTGAAAAGTCGCATGACGTCACGTTTGAGTACACTTATAAGTGAAAATTCACTCAAAAGTGACGTCACGAGCCCCTACTCCCAAACTTTGACGCGCTATAACTTTGTCATTTTTTGGTTGATTGCCCGAAGAAAAAATACGTGTCCATTATTTTTCGATCATCTAACTGACGGACTAAATAGAATTTCGTTTACTGTACCCTGTAATCACCCCTATTGTGGGTTTTTATGCACATTTAAAAAAAAGACGACCTATTGAAAAAGGCTTTTACCGTTTGTTGACCTATTTGTCTCAGAGCAAGCTGATTAGAGAATAAGTGTATTATACTCACTTGTCGAGATGCGGCGCCGGCTGTGTTGTTCTACAACACACAGAACACAACAAGAATGATAGCGGGCAGGCTGCGCAGCCGTCGCGGACCGCAGCGCCCACTACACACATAAACAAACGCTCAATTGACGCAAGAACATCGATACGACACCACCCAAATATATTATAATACATTGTACACAAGCTGGTAGTCCACTGCTTAGTATTGGCCCAAACTAGGGCTGCCATCCGTCCGGGTTTCCCCGGATTTGTCCTAGTTTATGGAGCGTCCGGGTGGGGTTTTATTTGTAGTCCGGGTTTAAAAATTTACGGCAACGCATGAGTGGCCCTAGGTGCTGCAAGTGTCCATGGGCAGCAGTGACCACTTATTATGAGGTAGACCGCTAGTTCTTTTGCCTAGATCAACATAAAAAGTTGATTTGTGACATTTTAACTGTTTTTTTATTGGTCTGTCCGGGTTCTGGGCTTCAAAATCCAGGGTTATCACGCGTCTTATCCTGGTTGCCACATTTTAGACATGGCAGCCCTAGCCCAGACCTCTATAATCTGAACCCATTCTTTTTGCCATTTATTCATTTGCCAATGCAGTCTGCAGTATAATTAAAGCACTTCTTAGATTACATGTCATTTTTTTTCTCTCTGACAATGTATTTTTCAAATTTGGAGTAGGTATTCAATTTTCCATTAAGATATGCAATACACGTATGGTTTATGTATGATAGTCTGGGCCTGGTGACCTGTTAGTACAGGTAGCTATTCGTAGTTGCCTTTTACGGGCACCAGTCTCCCACATAATAGGTTTATGTATTTGTATTGATTAAATTAGTTACCTATTGTACTGTTACACCTTTTGTGAGGAGAAAATAAATGGTATATTATATATATTTATATTATATTCTGATCGGAACAACCCTGTAATCCGAGCCTCGTAAGGCCGCCCGCGCATTTACATTTGCCGAGTCTGAGACCTATAATTTTACAGTAGGGTTTTATTTATCATTAATGACTGCCTGACAAACTAAAATATTAGATTTAAAGTGTAATAAATGTAATATTCAAAGATACATTTGTCACAATACTATTAGTTTTGTTTCGTAAAAATACCTGAAGGGGTGATACAATTTCGGAGTTCGGCTTAAAGAAAGAGAAATACTGCAAAAAGAATACAAGCATGCGCAAGCATCAAAGACACTGTCCAAATACAATTTCCAAGATTGTATGAGCAAATAATCTCCAAAAATCATAGTATAATAACACTTCCTTTGGTGGTATTGGGTTTTTACTCAAAGGGTAAGAAGATTCCATGATTCTACAAAGTATGAGATTGGGTTCAGGCTGACAAGTTGGGGAAAGCTGATGCAGCACATATTTCCGTATCACCAAATTAATCAGATATCTTCATGGCTGAACTGGACTCAACTTATATTTTACATCAGGTGGGATGGGGTAATTTAGTGTTCCTTGTATAAAAAGAACTATTTTTGTGACTAAAACTCATTTCTGAACCCCCAGGCATTGTAACTAATATTGTTAATATACCCAGGCATTCATAACATAACTCGGGTCTTATTAGCCTTTAGAATATTAGAATATTCTGATGATTCATTAGACCCAACTTACCAATTCCCATGTCATTAATCATACTTACCATCTACACTGTAAAGGTAATCGCACATATGCCCATCTTAAACACACCGCATTTCCATATAGACTTTACAAAATGAAGTTCATACTGTGCTGATGGAAGCATGTGAGTTTTCATTATTATGATATAGCTTACAATGAATTCTAAATGCGGCACATGTGGTAGTTATACTATGGACAATTGGACATATGTGAGATCACATTAATTAGGTAACAATTAAAATTTTAATATCTATCTAAAGAAATTTCCCTTAACAGTGGTATCTGCTCTATTAATTAACTATAATATTGAACATCCATTCTTTTAATATTATTAAAAATATATTGTATTCTTTTTTTAAACTAGTCAAGTAAACTTGATATAACTACTACGTCATATTTAAATTTGATCCATGGATTTAAAAAGATGTAACCAAAATTATAAAACTTGCAGCTATGAAAAGCTATCAATATCAAGATTAGAGCTTCCTTGAGGTGACCAATACAAATTTCTTACCAATCTCCCAGCATAACTTACATAAAGAATTGCGAGCCATTAGTATCTTTGCCCCTGTTAGCCATAGACAGTAAGTAAGGCCTGTCATGCTGTAGTTCAAAGGTTTCATCTGCAAAAAGAATCAAGATCAAATTTGATGACCAATTAAGTTGTCTTGATTGAGTAGCACTTATAATGTTAATATTTATTAACAACTACTTTACTACTTTTGATATTACAGTGAGACCAAGATATTGTGGTGCGTGACTGAAATCAGTACAAATTTTAGGAATGTATAAATAAGCCTTTTATTTGTATAGGACGGTGTAAATAAGCCTTTTAGATTTCCTATTACTTCTTCAGAGTTATTGTAAATTATAATATTTTTTGTTTCTTAGGTTTTCACCCCACCATTCATTAAATAAAACAATCCTTCAATGGTTTAAATGCATTAAATTATATGATTTTATATTATAATATATATTTCCGTCTATCAGACGGAAGCTGGACCAAGAAAATTATAAAATGGAGAGGACCATACGGAATAAGGAAAATTGGAAGACCATATAAACGTTGGAGTGATGATATTATACAAACAGCAAAACAAAAAACTGGAGGAGGCCTTTACCTAAAGAGGGATCCATGCAACTGAATAAAAACTAATTCTACCAACTTAACAATCAAGAATTGCAACTAACAAACTAACAACTTTTCCAAAATGTAAATAACTTAAATGGAATTAATTAAAGGCTTTATTATTATTATATGTTTGAGTCTTTTTATTGGTCAATAAAATGGTTCTCTCTCTCTGATTCTTCACGTTTTGCATCCTTTTCAGAATGCATCGGCAGTATTATACGACACAGCCCGAAAAGGATGAGAAATGTCAAGATACAAATAAATTAATACATTTAAATTGTTGAAGGTTTGTTTTATTTATAATTTTTTGCTCATAATGACTGCTTCTCATTTTGTGACCATTCTATCAATATCTGGGTTTTTTTCACCACTTATCCACCAGCAGCACCCTCCTGTCAATATCATCCAAGTGCCACAAGTTCTTGCTCACACTATACATGGTAGAAGCAAGTAATTAAATAATTGAACAACAAACAAACCTTCAAAAGTGCCTCCGTATATAGACTCTCCACCAGTTCCATTAGCATTTGTGAAGTCACCCCCTTGGATCATGAAGTCTTTTACGACCCGATGAAAGAGCATACCCTGAAGGAATAGAAAAAGAATAGAAAAACCAGCACAGTGAATATTCTTCTCTTCATCATATTTACTTCTGAGGTGTTGGCTTATTACTTATGGAGGCCTTAAAATGCCATTATTTCAAGTCATAACTTAATAAGCTATAACTTAATATTTGATAAGCTAGTGTTAGGGTTAACCAGTACACATTGCTCAAGTTACCTTGTAGGTTAAGGGTTTGCCCGTGACTTTTCCTGTTCCCATGTCCCCAGCACATAGCGCACGGAAGTTCTCAGCAGTCTTCGGAGCAATATCGTTGAACAGTTCAAATACCAAGCGACCGGAGGGAAGGCCTCCGATTGAAATGTCCATGAACACCCTATCGCGGGGAGGTTTTTCATCGCCGTCAACAGTCATGGTATTTACACGTTTACACTTTCTATAGGTAAATATAATCTCTACTTCCACGAAGTCTGATCAGCAACTAAAACGTCTTAAAACCGTACAGGACACAACGCACGATATGATGTGGTAAAATAAAATTAGTAAAATTCTCTCAATCTATCGAATTCCCATTTTCCCACAGCACAGATTACAGAATTATGAATGGTTATGTCAACTAGACAAAGCGATCTGACATCAAAAACCGATTAAATGTCAAATATCGTTTTTTAAATCAAGATGTTAAGTGAATCAAATTATTGTATTTGGCCTCGTTTTGATAACCCCACTGCCAATCCAAATAATGATTTAACAGATTATAACAAGTTGTATATACATATATACTTTTTTAAGCATTTAACTGCTAGATGTTTAAATCTATCTATCTAAAGATTTTTTCTAGTAAAATTCCATGCAGACAAGGCAGCAAACGGGACTCAAACCCGCACCCTTCGCTATCCGGGCGAATGCACTGACCATTATGCTACCACAGCTCACTGAGCATTATGCTGCCGCGGCCTCTCTGACCAGGCGGCCGGAGTGGTGGCCTATTGTATTCAATTGCAATGTAAGGGAGTGGTCAAACCATAGAGGTATGAGAATAGAGTGGGGAAGGCGGCTCTAAAAGTGTCAATCTAGTAGAAAGAGAAAGAAGATGAGAGACCGATAGCTATCTCTCTCTCTTGTGACGCATGGCATCTAATGGCATCACATCGAAATAGTAAGATACTTACGGTTGCCAAAGCGCATGCGCAATTAGAGAGAGAAAGCTAGCGGTCTCTCATCTCTTTGTCTTTCTATTAGAGGGACACTTCCACTTGTAGTAGAGTCTATATCTCCCCTACTCTATTCTTATACCTCTATGGGTCAAACACAAGCGACTCATAGGACAGGCCGCCGCTGCTGGCCACGTCTATTTGTGAAGCACTTAAAATGGTCCAGTAATCGATTTTCCTAAGGGAATATCCGATTTTACATTTTTCAATTAGTCTATATTAAACCAGTCTATGTTAAAATCGCTGTCTATGGTTGACTGGCGCTTAGTGTGACCATTTGTGGTAGATTTCTTCTATTTGGGTATAATTTGCTCATAAAGGAGATGTTCTATTTTGGTACTAGAAAACCCTCCTCCGTGGAAGCTCCACGATAAATTAATATAATAATAATTATTATTATAAATTAATATAATTGACGAAAGCTTAATCTTAAATTCAGTTATTTTTTTGTCGTTATTTACAGCCCCCACATTACTGAGTGGTTTAAAAAAGAGTATGCAATATAAAGAAAGTAAAAAAAATAAGCTTACAAAAAGTATTACAATATTTTATTTCATTTTATATGTTTTTGTAACATACAGGAAAATGAGGACTTTATCTCCCTTCAATCCCATCAAAAATCCGTGAAGAACAATGGAGCGGTTTTAATCAGAAAGCGACCAGTAGGCATTTTTGTGATCAAAAACGAAATTGTTATTAAGACAGGCACACATATAAAATGACAAAAAAATCCTGCATAGATGAAACTTAAGATTTTTTATAGACAGATCTGAAATTGGTACTGGCGAGTCGATTATTTTGTTAAACAAGACCGAAGATAGAATTTATATTTATAAAATAATATTTATATTCTGTTTAAAAGTGATAACATAGAAATAATATGTGTTAATAATTCTACTTACATATATAATTTGTCATTTTTTGTGCTCTGACTTACACTCTCGCGACTTGAGTTAGTCTAGCGAAATATCCGAACGCGACTATAGTTTTGTTACAATATGAGCTAGCCCAACACTAAGAGAAAATCGACAGAGACGACTACTGGCCGCGTCGGCAGCATTGCTCTATGTTGCCAATGGAATTCGGGTAAACGACTAAGTGTAAATAAACGGAGTTAAGTTTTATTATTTCGGACGATTTTCGTCCCTTTTGTCATCAAAACGTCCCATCGATGTCCTTTTAGATATGCCGTCCCTTTTCCGTCCGGGTTCGATAACGCTTCACTACAACATTAGATGAATGCGTTTCGTTTCACTCATTGATTTATTTCACTAAATTGCCATGACAATTCGTTGTACATTGTCAATTTTGTTCGTCAAATCACCCAGTAAACTACATCGAATCCAACGCTCGCTACGAAAGGTACCTACGTTTAATAAATACCTACTCAAAGCTCAAACCCAATAACCGACCATATCTTACCTAATAAAAACTTTTGTTGTTTAGGTACGTTTCAGTTATGAAGATAATAGGTAATATAAGAATAAGTGTTTGCTTTGTAAAGTCGTACGTACGGTAAGTTCGTGCCACCATGCTGTACCTATGTCCTCCGTACCATCTTCTTTATGTTTATTGTGTGCCCAAAAAATATAAGTAATATGTCTCTGTTAGGTATATATGTTTTTTGAAATGGAACTTCGTTAGGCACGTTTAACTTGGGGGGTAAACTGGCGAATGTTTACGATTTCGTGTCACGATTACTGTCATCGGAGACTCATCGGTAAACAATGAACAATACCCGTCACAAAATATATGAATCTAGTGCTTGGTGTGTGATAACGGACCCAGCGCGCATTGGTGGATGATAACGGACCCAGCGCAGATTGGTGGGTGATAACGGACCCAGCGCGGATTGGTGGGTGATAATGGACCCAGTGCAGATTGGAGGGTGATAACGGACCAAGTACGGATTGGTGGATGATAACGGACCCAACGCGGATTGGTGGATGATAATGGACTCAGTGCGGATTGGTGGGTGATAATAGAGCCAGCGCGGACTGGTGGGTGATAATGGACCCAGTGCGGATTGGAGGGTGATAACGGACCCAGCGCGGATTGGTGGGTGGCAATAAATCCAGTTCTTAGTTCTAACTGTACTTAATGTATGAAGCAGATCGCGTCACAACACAATACGTAAGATAAATATAGTTCTGCCTTTAGTTTAATATTTCTGTAGGGCCGTCCTTTTTTTTTACTAAATTCGTTCCTTTTCAGATTTCGAATCGTCCAAAACACGACGCAGGTACTGGCAACACTGATCCTTATGGCAGATTCGGCATTTTTGTGGTGGTCATACTGCTGACGCCTGTGCGACCTGCGGAATCGAAAAACTAGTTTGTTTTTGTAAATCTATTTTCTACAATAAATGTATTCTGTTTGATGCTATTTCAAAGCTTGAGTTGAGTGTTTAGTACAGATCAATATTAATTAAACAATAATTGGTATTTAAACTAGTCGTACATGCAAGACAAGATGTTAGGTTCCGGGGACTCGGGCGAAGACAACGGCGGCTTCATCGTGAAATTACGTGGATTACCTTTCTCCACAACCGTGGATGATGTCCTCGATTTCTTGACTGGTGTCAATATTATCAATGGAAAAGATGGTAAGCTATGAAAGTTGAACTCAATCTAAATAACATTTCTTTGCTGAACAATTTCTTCCGCTGTGCTAAATATAGAATTGTCATTCTGTTCTAAACGTTTTAGTTGACGTGACTCGGAATTTAGAATGTAATTTTCAACAAAACTTGCTAAAGTTGAAGACAAAGTAGAACTTTTTATTTCATGTGATTGTTTTTGTGTAGGCGTACATCTAACAGAGATACGACCTGGTAGGCCGTCTGGAGAGTGTTTCGTGGAGGTGGAGGGTCAGGAAGATGTAGACGAGGCACTCAAGAAGGATAAGGAGAATATGGGCAAGAGATACATTGAAGGTATATTAGTAAGAGCGCAGCGGTCATTATAATTCAACTTCAGTTTGTTCATGTTAAAGCATTTTCATTACTAATATCTACTTAATTTACGTATTTACCTACCTTAATTTTCATGGTTTGTTTAAAAAGCAAAAAAGGTAATTTCTTATTTCGTCTGCTTACTGCGAAAACCGAATAAGTGCAGAATGTGGCATTCTCAGTAAATCGATTTTAAACATTTGTGCTACTAAAGTAATATAATAATCTTTCACAGGCTGATCTTTGTTGAAAAAAGTTGAAAGAAATGCCCTTCTTTATAGATATGACCTTAATTTTGTGTGCTGTAATAGTAAAAACTGTTTTAAATTGAATTTTAACAAAGGAGGGTGTGCATTTATCTGGTTTTGCAGAAATTAGGGAATGTATTGTATCTTCGGAATTTACCGTCTTACTTGTCCAATTTCAACTTAATGCTGTCGTGTTTTGTATTTGAGAGTAACTTTAGTATTTTAACACTGTCAAGCTAGACATACAGCTATAAATGCCATTTTTGGGTTGTTTATCACTTTTTGCTTGAAGAGAATTTGTTATTTTTTTTCTCTTATTCAGCTTTTCACCATACAACATGATACACAAATTTGAGGTTAATAAATAAAACAACCTATAAAATATATAATTTTATAATCATCATCATCATCATCATCAGCCTATTAAAGTCCCCACTGCTGGGGCACAGGCCTTCCCTATGGATGGAATAGGGAGATTGGGCCATGACCCAAAACGCGGGCCCAGTGCGGATTGGTGGGTGCTAACGACTGCAAATGCAGCCGGGACCAACGGCTTAACGTGCCTTCCGAAGCACGGAGGAGCTCGAGATAGTAAATTTTTGGTCACCCATCCGATGACCGACCACTGCGAAAGTTGTTTAACTTCAACGATCGCAGCCGAACGCGCTAGCCACCTGCGCCATCGAGCTCCTCAATTTTATAATGTTTTTCCTATATTTTTTCCAAAATGTGTGTACTTATAAGGTTTTCATCCTAACTATCTTTGCAACAGTATGACTTATCATTTATCTGATTTTACCAGTAGAAAGAGCACAAAAAGTTACGTATAACTGTCTTCATAACTCAATTTCGTAAAAAAGTGCATTTATTTGGTTTTTGTAGTAAGCAGACGATTTATTTAATTTTGACATTATCAATGATATTGTACACTGATTATAGAATACTACCATGAGCACCATGGTGTGCCATATAGCTTGATTTTATCATGCTCAATTGGCAAATGACTAAGGATCTTCACAGTTATATACAATAAAAAATATAGTATAATGTAAATTGCAGTGCTCATGCTACAGGGACATGTAACGATTGCCCCAAATCTGATATTGTGGAGAATCTCTGAACAACACAGAAATCATTTTAAACACATTAATGTTATATCTTTTTTACAGTCTTTTCAACGGACCGCCAAGATATGGAATGGGCATTGAATGCCATGCGCCAAAGTGAGAATGGCTTTGACAGTCTTCCAAATGTAACCGATGATATGGGAATAGTCAAACTAAGAGGTCTCCCCTTTGGCTGTTCTAAAGAAGAGATTGTCCAATTCTTCGATGGTAAGTTCGTTTGAATGAAACTCATTATTTGTAGTTTTATGTACTTGGGGTAGACTAGGCCCTATTATGCAGGTGTGCTGTGGAGTGACATTATATTTGCATCATTATCAAATTTTATATTTTGCTAGAAATGTTATTAATAACCCCCCTATCTTTAGTAATTTTTTGTTAAATAATGACATAGCAACTACTCCTCAATCACAGTTTTGTTTGTTTGCCTAAAATTCATATTTTCTACCACAATTGGCTTATGTTAGCATTTTCGATAACACTTTGATAAATCATTGCGTAAGTAAAAAATATTATTTCTTTCGAAAATAGAATTCTCGTCAATAAGATTTGAATTTAAACACTCATCTCCAGCACTCACTAAACAACTAATGTTATACCATGGCCACCTGCAAGGTGATATTAACCTCCTTGGGTGTCAGGGCTGAGCGTCGGACCCGAGGGTGTTCACTTGCTCTCGGACCACACGGGGCGGGCTTCGGGAGAGGCGTTCGTACACTTCAATGAGAAGGGGCACGCACAGGAAGCTCTCAACAGGGACAGGGAGAAAATAGGACACAGGTGGGGGGAAATACTTTAAAGAGGGACACATTTGGTGGCATGCTGTTGTGGTATTTTAATGCAATGTGTGTTTTGTTCAAATTTTTAAATGAGGAGATATGAGGTTTTTCTTTGTATTACCGTATTAGGTACCTTTTCCACGCCTTACTTTTTTTCTTAAAATACAAAAGATACTACATTTTATGACTTAATGAGTATAGTTCTAGTTTTTTTTTTAATAATTTTTAGAAGTAGTTAGAGAAGGGTTATTTTTCATTTTGCTGTTGATTGTTATTTCTTGTTTTCCCTGATTTTCTCGCATTTATTATTTTATTACAGTATATTAATTATGACAACACACATTGCTTAAAATCTTCACTTTGGCTCGAAAACCAAATTGTGATCCGGTACTGATATTTGGTGTAGCGGGATGTTTTTGGGACCTCCTTTGTTGCTGGTAATCTTTATGATTTATGGTAAACGTCATAAATGAAAAAATATATATACACAACTGGGCATTATCTTTCTTCATAACTGTAAATCATGCAATAGCCAGCAACAAGTTGGCAGGGCACTTAGATATATTTTGGGATTCATAATAAAAAAGAAAGTAATAAGTTGAATCTTCACTGCACTTTTAATATCTACCGACATTTTGTTCACACATTGGATTTGGGTTAGGAAAGGAAGAGAATAATATTTTGCTATTTCAGTATTTAGAGTTCGTTTCAGCTTTGATGTCATTATTAATCTTCTATAAATTTGAATTGGAATTTTGAAAAGCCTTTAGATTATAGTCTGATCTGCTGATAGTGTGTGATATTTTGATATTGATTCATAAAATTGAACCTTATCTTTCTTGACCCAAAGACCGAATTGTGATGTGCCAAAACAGAGGTAGCGTTGACAAGTGCAGCGGTAATTGGTTGTTGAGTGTCAAAGGTTAAGGTGGGGCGAGGCGGGGAGCGGGGTCCAGAACGGGGACGGGACGCGACGAAGACGGGGAGATGAAGACGAACGACAGTTTAAATGGGTTCTCTGTGGTATTTTCTTATGTTGACGTTGTCTATGACCAGCTTGACTCAAAGTGTTAGTTTAGAACCCCCCCCCTCCCCGCAGGCTAGCGTCTTTCGAGTGTCGTCGTTGCGCCAGCGTCTGCGCAATGTGGACGCGCCTGGCCGGCTTGCATTGTACAGATCGCACCAACTTCTAGTCCGCTCTGGAGTTTCTTCGTGCAGGTGTACAATCGTATATTCATTCATTCATATTCATTCATATTCATTTATTGCATTCTTGATGTTTACATGCTGTTACAAAAAAAATATATAGGTATATCATTCCAAACAAAAACCCAGTTAGGATATTGCACTAATCCTAAACTAAAGAGATAGAATCTACAGTCATAATTATTATTCAATTATATTATATTAATTATTTCAATCCTGTATAACATATTGTAAAATATGGGTGCGTGTACTTAAGTACGCGCGTGAGATGTTATACTTCTTTTTGGAATTATTAAAAATAGTTTTTAATTGCATGCAGATAATTAATTACAATAAGATAATAAAAGGATTGGAAAAGGATAGTCAACGCAGTCAATAAAGTTCAGTTTTAATTTGAAAAATTTAATAAATAATCAAAATATTCAATTTAAATCACTACTGAATAAAATTTATTTGCACATATAAATTTCGCATTTGTATAACATTATAACACGTGTTAAGAACATAGAAACTAGAAACATGTGGATAAATATTATAAATATGAAAACAGTGATCAGAGGCGACGAGCGTCCCAACATGTGCGACTAAGAGATCCTATTACTATTTTGTTGGAAGCTTTTTTTCGAGACTTACGAGTAATGTGCGGTTTAGCGGCCGACTTCATGGTGTTACTTTTCTGTTACAATGTTGCGCGCGCATCTTAAAATTTCACTCTCATAATTTTTTCATAACGCGCCTAAAGAAGTATAACTTCAAAAATAATTAAATTGTCCAAAATATAATGCAAATGTCAAAATTTTAAACTTAATACCAAGTAGGTAGATCTACAGTCATAATTATAAAACGTTCCAACATAACAAATTTTCAATCAACCATTTAAAAATTAATTCAATCAAATTAGTATATACAATCTTCGTCCAACTTTATACCTGTCTTTTGCATTGGCAGTATTCAAAGCGGAATAGAAGATTGGCGCTATCTGTACAATGCAAGCCGGCCAGGCGCGTCCACATTACACAGACGCTGGCGCGACATCGACGCTCGATAGACGCTAGTGTGGGGGGATATGTTTATTTCAAGTAATTTCATACAAATAAATAAAATTAAATATGGAGAAATGCAAAAATATTCTCCTATCATTTTGTCAGACTGAGTATTCCTACTTATAATGAGTTATTACAAACGCGGTACTTGTATGTTATTTTATTATAACGAAAATATATTGCTTTTAATTAATAATTAAAAAAGACATGATTCAGGCAGTCAGTTATTGGAGTTCTATCGTTGTTTACACGTCAGTGAAACACAATTTATATTACCGCGGCCCTCACGGACCGCGTCGAAATTCTTCTAGCCATTCTTAAGCTGCAAGGCAGCGCCATCTCTTCGCATTATAGGTAACCCACAATGTCAAATGAATACTTTTACAAGTATTAAACATTTGAAAGAAGAAATAGCAATTATAGTTATAATTTGTATTATTTTTAAAGCATGTAACTGCTTGATGTTTAAATCTAAAGAAAATAAAACTAGGTCCGTGAAGGCTGCGGTAGCATAATTGCTCAGTGCATTCGTTCGGATTGCGAAGGGTGCGGGTTCGTGTCCCGTCTGCTGCCTGGTCCGCGTGGAATTTTTTCTAGTTATATTTTCTTTGGATTTCAACATCAAGCAGTTACATGCTTTAAATATAATAAAAAGTATAACATTTATATGTTAAAAACACTTGCAAGAAACGCACATAGAGTTTTTTTTTATTACAAATACAATTCCGAAATAAGCCGATGGTGGCTTAGCAAGAAATTTAAGTATACCTAGACAATACTTAAAAATGCTTGCTTGGTGACCTGTAATAGTATTTCTACTAAAATTGTATTAATTAACCAGTTTCGTTTTTACGAACTGGTTACAGAGGAATATGAAACAGATATTTTTTTTATTATTACGTCACAAAAATGTAGAAGTGAAAGTTAATAGGGTATTTGACAAGTTTTAGAAAACGATCTCACGTTATTGACTAATGTTTATGGAGTCCGTAAAAAGTGGATATTCATCATTCCGTTGTGTATTTCAGTAAAAATAACCAAAGCAAAAACTCCATTTTCAAGTTGCCGCCAAAACGTTTCTCTGGACAATATGGCGTCTCACTGGTGTGTGACGTCACACGACTGTTATTAAAACGTCAAACGATACAATGTAATGTCACTTTAACCAGAAGTTTACTTGCGTGTGACGTCATTTTAGGCTCCGCCAATCCCAAGCGTTTTGGGTCACGTGACAATAGATAAGAAAACTATTATCTTTTTCGTGGTTTTTTAGTAAAATTATGAATATAATTTCTGTAAAAATAGTGAAAATCCCTGTCAATATTCATTCTAAACACAGATGCTAACAATTGGCACTTTATTTTTAATACTGTCAAATACCCTATTGGAGCGCTTGTCGATGAAGTTACCTTCACCGTACAAAAGACTATCCATTTGGTGGGGTTGTATTTGTTGGTGAGTGAGGTTCACAGAGCTCCCCAGGGCTCCACGGGGTTTACAGCTGGCCAGGTGAGGATAGGCACTTTACTGCTAGCTGCTGCTTCAGTTATCTTCGCAACTTAACTACAACTGGAGTCAAAGACTTCCACAAAGTTCCAGTACCTCCATTACTCCAAAAATTGGTTGAAATCTAAATCGCCAAATTTGTCGGCGCAAGGCGCGTTTTGGTTGGACAAATCGATTTAATCGCATGACCAATTAGGCGCAAACCTGTATTGCGAATTTTGGGGGTATGTCACACGCTTATACATAAGCTTGGTTCTTGGTACACACTAAATCATTTAGAATAGTTAAGAGAGGTAGGACATAGCGGATTTCCGGTCGGATTCAAGTAACCCACGCCTTACAGAAGACCACAGTAAATTAATTAATTAATATTTATCTAAACTTTATTGCCACAATTACAAAATGGACAAAAGGCGGAATTAACGCTAAAAGCATTCTCTGCCAGTCAACCTTCAGGAGTACAGAATGTCATGAATGCGGCTTTAGTAAAAAAGTAATTAATAATATATACATACCATAATAGAAAATACTTATCTTATACATAATAATTAAATATACATGAGCACAAGACATATAAATATATATATAAATATATATATACACACACAGATATATATACACATATACATACGTACATATATATAAAATAAATCGATGATGAGACTGAAAGGGACTTAGGAAATGTTAGGGTGGAAGGCTTTCCAAAAGAAGTGCATGAATTTTCTTTTTAAAAATGAACATATTAGGTGACTTTCTAATGGAGTCAGAATTAACACTGCCTTTTGCTAGTGTTGTTTCTGTCTATGAGTAAGATTCTAGGGCTCCATGAAATTCAAAAATTCAAAATTCAATATCGTTTATTCAGTCTAGGCTGTTACAAGCACTTGTGAATTTCGAAAAGCTACGCCATCGGTTCGCAAATCTACGGCGGGAGACCTTGTACTGAGAAGAACCGGCAAGAAACTCAGCAAGGGCTGCTTTTTTCTCCTTGTTTTATTTCATACAGTGTCGTCTAATTGAAAGTTGACATCAAACTTGCAAACATGTGTTGAGGTCAACTTTCATGGGGTAGGGGATGGGTTCAGAGTAGTCAACTGCGCGACTGATATTTTTTTGTATCGCAAACGACATTAGACTATGATGGCCGTTTACCATCAGGCAGACGATAAGTGGCTTGTAAGCTACCCTTTTAACATAAAAGAGGGATTCTTCCCCAGCAATGAAACTGAGTTGGTGATCTACAGGTACATAGAGGTGTTCCTGAGTAGCGCGGACGAGGTGCGATCCTACGGGGCGCGTATGGACGGCGGTTTCAGACCGAACCGCGGCTACCGGCCCACGCCCTACGACAGAAACGATAGATTCTCCGGCCGCTTCTCGAGGGGACGCGGGTCCTTTGGAAGGGGTGAGTGTCTATTTTACAGAGGTCACAGTTACTTCCAAGAGGTCAGTGTCTATTTGGAAGAGATGAGTATCTTTTTCGAAGAGGGTAGTGTCTATTTGGAAAAGATGAGTATCTTTTTCAAAGAGGTCAGTGTCCATTTGGAAGAGATGAGTATCTATTTCGAAGAGGTCAGTGTCTATTTTTTTTTGTTTTTATAGACACTCACACCAATTAGCCTAGCCCCAAAGTAAGCACTATAAGGCTTGTGTTATGGGATGCAAGGGTAACGGATATATTCATATTCATATTTATATTCATATTCATATTTATTTACAAGAAACATGGTACAATAAAAAGATGTTACAATACATATGGTGCTCAAACATGATTCGCTAAATTAGCATGCAAATATCAAATTATTTTATATTAATATTGTAGTTGGTCACACTATTGTTATACATTCCAAAACATTAATTCCATTTAAACATGTCAATTAATCGTCATATGTCATCACATAAACATGTTAAGAAATCCATAATATTATTGATTAAAAATAAATTATAATTTTAGTCAAATTTACAATCATAACACTTTATATCATTTATTCCATTTACACATGTCAAATTATCAAGCAATTAAATATTATTAAATCACTACAATAAATATATATCACATAGAATAAAAATTACTATCTTAATTAATTTGTCACTTATTATGTCTGGATTTAAACATAAAAATAAAATATTCCTCTACAGAGTAAAAACATTGTTCCTGCAACCATGACTTTATCGTCCTTCGAAAACGCGTTTTTGGAAGATTTAGAAACTCTGTTGGTAAAGCATTATATACCTTGATGCACATAGCTGTAGAATTTTTCAAATAAAGACTGGTCTTTGGTCTAACACTATAAGCAAGTTTGTCAGAGTAACGGAGGGTTCTTTGAGTTCTATTTATATCACTACATTTCGTAAATAAATTGCTATTAAATTTGACAAAGCAAACCAAACTCAAAATGTACATACAATATAATGGTAAAATACGTAACCTTTTAAAGTATGGTCTACATGACTCATCTGGTGCTAATCCGTGCATGGCTCTAATACACTTCTTCTGAGCAATAAATGCCCTATCAGCATCTGTACTGTTACCCCAAAGTAGAATGCCATAATCAAGCGTAGGATAAATATAACCATAGTAAGCTGTGATTAATGTAGAGTGTGATGTTGTTTTTCTGAGTCTACTGAGAAGGTAAATGTAACTATTTATCTTCGTACAAATCCTATTGACATGAGCCTTCCAGTTAACATGGTTGTCCAGTATTATTCCTAAAAATTTTGCTTCGTCTGTTTGTTTTACAAGTTGTTTATTATAATATAAGTTGAGGTTATTAGTCAAAGTACCGTAATTAGCAAATTGTATATAACATGTTTTTTCTATATTAATATATAAATTATTATATAATGTCCATTTAGAAATATCTTGAATTGTATTATTAATATTTGATTCATATATATTATTTTTAGTTTCCTTGCTAGATGTCATAAGAACTGAAATGTCATCAGCAAAAAGTACGCATTTATCTGATATGGCATCAGGTAGGTCATTTATATAAAAATTGAAAAAAATCGGTCCAAGTATCGTCCCCTGCGGAACGCCAAACGCATTGACTCTTTCTTGGGATTTATATTTGACTACAGTTTACTAGATAGAAAACATATAGTGTACATATATAAGTATATTTATTTAAATACATATTAAACATCCATGACTGGAGTACAAATGTTCGTATTCATCACACAAACATCTGCCCCCACCGGGATTCGAACCCGGGACCTCTCGAGTCGGCGACAGCCATGAAACCCGGCGTACAAACCACTCGGCCACGGAGGTCGTCAACGATTTGGAAGAGATGAGTGTCTATTTCGATGAGGTCAGTATTTATTTGGCAGGCAGCCTTAGGTGGGTGATATAAGATATATTATTATTACATATTTACTTATCACTAAAGTATATGTATTGAGGGCAGTTTTATACCGAATTGCGGCTCCCAGCCCATGCCGTACGACAGAAACGATAGATTCTCCGGCCGCTTCTCGAGGGGACGCGGGTCCTTTGGAAGGGGTGAGTGTCTATTTTACAGAGGTCACAGATTCTTCCAAGTGGTCAGTGTCTATATGGAAGAGATGAGTATCTATTTGGAAGAGGTCAGTGTCTATTTGGAAGCGATGAGTATCTTTTTCAAAGAGGTCAGTGTCTATTTATAAGCGATGAGTGTCTATTTCGAAGAGGTCAGTGTCTATTTGGAAGCAATGAGTGTCTATTTCGAAGAGGTCAGTATTTATTTGGCAGGCAGTCTTAGGAGGGTGGTATAATAGCCAACCGCGAGTACATAGAAAAAGGGATAATTAAAGAATAGGATTGAAAATTACGTCATACATATTTACGTATCACTAAAGTATATGTATGGAGGGCAGTTTTATACCGAATCGCGGCTCACGCCGTACGACAGAAACGATAGGTTCACCGGTCGCTTCTCGACGGGACGCGGATCTTTTGGTAGAGGTAAGTGTTAATTTGGTAGAGGGCAGTGTGTATTTGCTAGAGGTCAATCTATTTAGCAAACGTCGTCGTTTACTATGAGTCTCATAAGAATACTCAAGGTCGCACTGCGGGCATGGGGAGAGCCTAGCCTGGTATTTCTCTGCGTGATAGAATCAGAAATGAGGAAATCCGCAGGAGAACTAAAGTAACCGACGATGGGACCAACATGAGTAGCCTTCTGAAGTGCAGAGGAACGCGATATAGTAAATTTTACGCCAGATTCCCCTAAAAACTGTGCCTTTAGGTCACAAACACCTATGACCGCTCATTGCGAAAGTAGCTCAACTTCTTCGATCGCATTCTAAACACTGCTATTGATTTTAAAGCGCGGTTGCAGCTTCATATTTTGGTAAATAGCGGGCTGCATAGCCAACTATAATGCGGGTTCCAGACCAAGCGCTAAGTTAGTTTTTTTTATAGATAGATTTGACAAATGTCTCCACTCCACCTGATGTTAAGTGACGGTGAAGTCTAGACGCGAAGATAGTTGGTACAGCAGTTCTACCTGCCACACAAGCCATCCTCACCTTGCCGGCCTGCATGTTGCTTCTTCACGCCTCTTTTAAAGGATCTCAAGTTAAAAGGAGGGCACACGTGACCGGGCAGAGCATTCCATTTACGGATAGTGCGACAAAGAAATGAGTCACCATATTTCTTTGTACGCGTCGGAAGCTTAACTCGCATAGCTGACGCAGTTTTTTATACTTGTGTGCAAACTTAAATATGTAAGTTAAGTAGAATATGCGAAGCTAACTAAGTTGTGTATCATCATCATCAACATCAGCCTATTAATGTCCACACTGCTGGGGCGCAGGCCTTCCCTATGGGTGGAATAGGGAGATTGGGTCATGATTGGGTTGCTAACGACTACAGATGCAGCCGGGACCTACGGCTTAACATACCTTCCGAAGCACAGAAGAACTCGAGATAGAATATTTAATTTACCTTTCAATAAGTTTAAAATGTGTATAAAAACATGTCTCCTTAAGAAAGGTTGCTATGCTGTTAAAGATTTCATAAATGATAAGTCACCTTGGGCTTAAAATAATAAACTAAGTAGTTTTACTTTGCTAATTTGGTTGAAAATTGTTTAATCGCTACTTCTAAATTTACAAATAGTACCTAGCTATACTTAACTTTCGTTAATTAATAATATTAATGTGATGGAAGTTGACATCAACACATGTTTTCAATTTTTGATGTCATCTTTCAATTGACGACACTGTATGAAACAAAACAGGGAGAAAAAAAATAGCCCTTGCTGAGTTTCTTGCCGGTTCCTCTCAGTACAAGGTCTCCCGCCGTAGATTTATGAACCGATGGCGTAGCGTTTGACTTTCACAAGAGCTTGTAGCAGCCTAGACTGAATAAATGAGTTTGAATTTGAGAAGATTTTTGGCCACCCATCCAATGATCGAACACTGCGAAAGTTGCTTAACTGCTCGCTCTCCTCAAATATGATTACGGTTTCCTAAACAAAGTGATCGTTACCCCAGGCGGCGGCTTGGGTCGCGGCGGCGGCCTGAGGGGGCGGGGCTCTCACTGCGTGCACATGCGAGGGTTGCCGTTCAAAGCGACGCCGCAAGATGTCGCTTACGTAAGTATTCCTTTTTGAAGTGAAACTTCTTTATCGGCGTTGGAAAAAAATTTACCGTCACATTTTTATTCGGTTACGCGTCACGTTTTTTGGTTACGCGCCATCTTTTTTTTAAAAGAGCACTATTTACCTCATCCGAACAATTGCTTCTTCTGTCAACTTTAAAAAAAAAGTATCGACAGCAAATATTCGTGTTTCACACAAGGTAAGGTAAGGTAAGGTAAGGTAAGGTAAGGTAAGGTAAGGTAAGGTGTAGTTATACCCCTTTAGTGGGTGAGTTTTTGAAAAATCTTAGCGCACGCCTATATATATATTTCTGGAAAGTTGCATGTAGATCATTTTTCGAAAAAAATAAGGCCATAAAGAAGTTTCACTTCTTACGTGTGTACACTAGTACACGCACACATTTTTTTTTTTTAATGTGTATGCTGTTGGTCGCAGATGACCTAGTCCCCTGTAATACGGCACTATTTAGGAAAAGTGTGTTTTGCAATGCTCCTTCTATTTATAGTAAATTACCTGAAAGTGTGCGAGAAATAACCGTGACCAATATATTTAAAAACAAATTACAACATTTTTTAATAGAAAAATGTTACTATACGGTCCGTGAATTTTTGGAAGACAAAAGTTTTTAGACTAATATAGAAAATGACATGCATGAAATAATTCCAATCATATGTTTATCGCTTATTGACATTTTGAATTAACTATGTTAAATTTATTAATGTGACATTGAAATAATTAATGTTTTATAGAAATATTATATTGCATGCCGATAAGGCAGAATATGGCTGTACTGTATTTTAAATGTATCTATGTAACAACTTTTCAACCTGTATTCGCAATAAAGATGATTTGGATTGGACCTTTACAATGTCACCGGGTTTGAGGACGAGATCCTAAGGGGACCTCGAGCCGAGAATTGGCGAGTGCCTCTAGAGGTATTCCAGGCTGATGGCATCTCTCCACGGGGGGAGTCTCCTCTCCGTCTGGAGCCTCCAGACCACTCGAATCTGCGGGGGTCGGGTCAACTAGAGGGCGTCTCTGAGACTCGGACCTCGGCTCTAGTTAGCCGTTGTCCTGGGGGGTTAGCCGTTGTCGTGGACATTGTTCCCTTTGCCTTCCCCGAAAAGGGAGAATCTTAAAAAAAAACATTCTTGTCCTATTTGGTAAACAATCTTGGCACAACTTTTTTACAAAATCACTAATTTAAAAATAAAATAATAACAAAGTCAATAATATATTACAATAAATCGTTATTATAGACTGAAACCTATTGAATATAGTTATCAGTTGATTTTTAATGCTATATTTTCAATAAAAAGAAGTGCCAAGATTATTTACCAAAAAGGACAAGTTAGGATGAATGCCAATGCAGTGTTTTATATATATTTTTATTTTACTCGGCTTTTATTTGTATCAATTACAATTTGTAAAAACTGTTTATATTTAATTAATAATATTAGTAAAAATATCTATTCTAGACGTTCAACTTTGATCTAAATATGATATGGCCGATGTCCTTTCATCCAAATCAGAGTAACAAATATGCAAACACAAAAAGATATACATTTTCACATTTATGATATTTTAGTAGGATTTCACAAGAGTGGTGTGAACAGCCATTCACACTCACACTTCAAGTTGTCAAAAACTGTAAAATTTTCTCAACACATATATTGTTTTCAATTATCTGAGTGCCAAATTTCATTCGAAGTCATTTTGCCATTAACAAGTAATAGAGTATCAAACTAAGTTTCACTTATGTATTATTATTAGGATCAGTCTGTCTGTATGTTTGATAGTTATTGTGTTGTATGCAACGATATTAACAAAACCACGAGGACTCAAAATGTGTCCCAATCAAGAAGTGCTTGAACATCACTCAAGCACTTCTCGGTTCACAGTCACGCGTGAACCGTTGAAAAGTCAAGATGCTGCAGAGCGCCGCAAAAATCTGTGAAAAAAATACTTATAGTACGTTGAGTGCCGGTTTTACGACAGATGTCGAATCAATGTTTGTTAATGAAACGCTTTTGAAATGAATTTTGTTCTAATATTTACTATAAACCGATTTAACAGAACACATTTTTGATATTCAAATGCATGGACGGTTATGGGTCGCGATAGCATAATGGTCAGTGAATTCGCCCGGCTAACGAAGGGTGCGGGTTCGAGTCCCGTCTACTGCCTGGTCTGCGTGGATTTTTTTCTAGTAAACTTTTCTTTAGATTTAAAAAACTAAACTTTATTTTGGCTCCCTTTTTTAAAATAATAATTAAAATTTATAATCACATACTTATTGATTGGCAAATGGCTTGTTCAATCTACTGTTTGTTGCCAAAACATCAAAATATTCTATTCAATAGGTAACTAACTAATGCAGTGATAATTATTCTGTTACAATCTCCCATTATTTTATTTCAAGAGGAATATATCATGAATAGGGTATTTGACAAGTTTTAGGAAACGATCTCACGTTATTGACTAATGTTTATGAAGTCCGTAAAAAGTGGATATTCATCATTCTGTTGTGTATTTAAGTAAAAATAACCAAATCAAAAACTCCATTTTCAAGTTGCCGCGAAAACGTTTCTCTGGACAATATGGCGTCTTACTGGTGTGTGACGTCACACGACTGTTATTAAAACGTCAAACGGTACCATGTAATGTCACTTTATCCGGAAGTTTACTTGCGTGTGACGTCATTTTAGACTCGGCCAATCCCAAGCGTTTTGGGTCACGTGACAATAGATAAGAAAACTATTATCTTTTTCGTTGGTTTTTAGTAAAATTATTAATATTTTTTTTTGTAAAAATAGTAAAAACCCCTGCCAATATTCATTCTAAACACAGATGCTAACAATTGGCACTTTATTTTTAACACTGTCAAATACCCTATTGGTATAATAATTTCCTCACTATTTCACAATATCATGCATGACTGGACTGATTCTCATTTGACATAAAGTGTTTGCCGTTATAAAATTTTATTTAATTTTTATAGCCAAATAGGTAAATGACTCTACTCCACCTGATGTCAAAAGCTGCCATAGCCCAAAAATATGACATTACTTATGACTGGGTGACCAGTATCCTTAGGAAATTGTTCAATTTTTAATCACAATATAAAATCAATTGGGTGTAAATAAAAAAAATATAATTATCTGTACATGTTATTACATAAAACAAGCTTTAAAATGATATATGCTGGAAATCGAATAGCACTTTTGAACCGTCTCTTTTAGTATTAAGTTTAGAGAATTATGCCAGTGCGAGGCCCATTGATGTATGTAAATAAATAAATAAAATATACGTCTGGATAAAAGGCTATTGCTAATATTATATTGTGTCTATTGCAGTTTTTCAAGCCGATCCGTCCGTCGAATATAAACATATTGTACGACAACAGCGGCCGGCCGTCGGGCGAGGCAGACGTTGAGTTCGAATGCCACGAAGATGCCATGAGGGTAAGCATTCCAAACAAATAGTTTCATGATCATCATCAGCCTATTAAGGTCCCCACTGCCGGGGCACAGGCCTTCCCTATGGATGGATTAGGGAGATTGGGCCATGACCCACCACGCGGGCCCAGTGCGGATTGGTAGGTGCTAAAGACTGCAAATACAACCGGGACCAACAGCTTAACGTGCCTTCCGAAGTACGGAGGAGCTCGGTATAGTAAATTTTTGGTCAACCATCCAATGACCGACCACTGCGAAAGTTGCTCAACTTCAACGACCGCAGCCGAACGCGCTAACCACTGGCGCTATCAAGCCACTCAGTTTAGGAAAATATAACAAATAGTTCAGGAAAATATTATAAAGTCACCTGTTTTAATAGGTTAATATGTACTTGAAATCAATCTTTAATTTACTAGTTTACTAAAAGCAAATATATCTTAAATAATGATACGGAGGAGCTCGATAGCGCAAGTGATTAGTGCGTTCGGCTGCGATCGTTGAAGTTAATCAACTTTCGCAGTGGTCGGTCATTGGATGGGTGACCAAAAATTTACTATATCTAGCTCCTTTGTGGCAGGCACCCGCCAATCCGCACTGGGCCCGCGTATGTGGGTCATGGCCCAATATCCCTATTCCATCCATAGGGAAGACCTGTGCCCCAGCAGTGGGGACATTAATAGGCTGATAATGATGAAATATATCTTGTAATATCACTATTGAACATGAACAACTTCACTAGCTTAAATCAAATAAATGTTTGGTATTTATTCTAAGATTAGCTCAGTCCTAAAAAAGTGTTTCAAGATTTTTTTGCAAACCGTACTTTTAAAGTGACATTTGACATAGATGTCATTTAGGGTGTATTCCGTAATATATACCAGTATACTGGCCAGTGTTAATGACGTCATGGATCGACGCTTTACTGGTGAATTGTTCCGAAATATATTGGCCAGTGCACTGACGTCATAAATCGACGAAATATTAAAAATAGCGCGAATAAAGAAGATTTTTTATTCACCTCATCAATTAAAAGAAATTCTTTTTGTTCGGATGCCATTATTGTTCTTTAAATTTGACGACCTCCGTGGTCGAGTGGTTTGTACGCCGGGTTTCATGGTGTCGCCGACTCGAGAGGTCCCAGGTTCGAATCCCGGTGGGGGCAGATGTTTGTGTGATGAATACGAGCATTTGTACTCCAGTCATGGATGTTTAATATGTATTTCTATATAAATATATGTACTTATATATGTACTGTATATGTATTCTATCCGTTACCCTAGCATCCCATAACACAAGCGTTGCAGTGCTTACTTTGGGGCTAGGCTAATTGGTGTGAGTGTCGGAAATATTTATTTATTATTTATTTAAATAAAAACGCATACCAGTACAATAATGCGTCGGATTCGTGACGTCATTACCACTGGCCAATATACTGATGTACATTTCGGAATACACCCTTATTTTCCTATTCTTATTTGAATTGCATAGTATCTATTATTTTTCATTTTTCATTATATGGTTAAAGACAAGACACACCTACATACACACGCAACACCCAGGCACACACACACACACACACGCAAGCACACCTACACCCACACTCACTATACACACACATATATGTCGGAGAGGGCGAGTGGTAATAGGCGGTTGGCCACGTGGTTCATCTTGATCCGCCATCTTGGTTATTCAATGATATTTCCCGAAAATAAAACTGTAGTTTAGTGACCAAGCTTACGTTTAATTTGAATCTTTTTATTACTTTACAAAATCAGTTATGATTGCCAAGATACAAACGGATTGCTTTGTGAAGCGCGGAGAGTTCTGTGCTAACGTCCGTTCACTATTGCGGCTCATGTCTGAATGGCGAAATGCCGAATACTAGGTGTGAGCGTTCTAAAGACGAACTGGTTTCAAGGACCGTTTTGTGTTCCGCGACGATAGAACCGTTTTACGTTTCGGATCAAAACACTCTTCGTCGAACAACTAGTCCTCGGATTGTCTGCACGCCAATATGTACTTTATGATGAAATAAATACAGTCAATAATAGAATGCAATGATATGAGACCGTTTCGTTCTATAATAAATTAAACTTTGAGTTTACAATAAAATAATCTTTATTATTGAACAATTAAAGTCGATTATCATATAACACTACATTTATTTCGATGTTTCGTCGTCTCGTTCGCAACAACGAAACGAAGTACGAACGTTAACAAGATTTCATTTAGTTCAGTTTCGTTGCGTTACCTTCGTTCGACCGTCGCGTGTCGTTTCGTTGCGTCGCCCAGCCGCAACCAAAACCAGTTGCGAACGAGAACCGTTTCGAGGACTAGTTTTCGTTTAAGAGAAAACGGTTGCGTTTCGTCGTCTGAAAATTTGAGAACGACCCACCGCTACCGAATACCGAATGCCCCTTCCAATGAAGCGTTACCCCCTTAAATACTACCCTTAGCATAGACCACTCCCAAGTGATGACAGCTGTCACTGTCATAACTTGACGTTTCACAAAGCAATGGTACAATGACTGATGACATTTTTTGTCGGTTTTACGTTTCGCAGGAGCGAGCGAGACGCCATTCGCCGACATATATATAATTTAGTTGTTTTTTTCTATTTATTTTTACTGTGAAGAAAAATAGTAATGTTTTGTTATGCCCAGTACAACTGCTAAGATTATATTGTAAGTACATAATTGGAGAGGACACTGGATTCCATACTACAGGCTAAGGCCTATTTTGGAATACAGGGGAATCAAATATAAATAAACATTATTATTATTATTATTATTCATCATCATCATCATCAGCCTCTTTATGCCCCCACTGCTGGGGCACAGGCCTTCCCTATGGATGGAATAGGGAGATTGGGCCATGACCCACCACGCGGGCCCAGTGCGGATTGGCGGGTGCTAACGACTGCAGATGCAACCGGGACCAACGGCTTAACGTGCCTTCCGAAGCACGGAGGAACTCGAGAAAGAAATTTTTGGTCACCCATCCAATGACCGACCTCTGCGAAAGTTGCTTAACTACAACGATCGCAGCCGAGCTCCTCAATTATTATTATTATTTCATCTTAATCTATCCAACAGGCGATGCGTCGCGACAAGAACCATATGGACCACCGCTACATCGAGCTATTCCTCAACTCCTCACCAACTGGGGGATTCAAACAGAACCGCAACTTCCGTTCGTATTACTGATGGCGTTGAGACGAGAATAATTAAAAAACATACTTAAAATTAATAAACCGAGAATACAGTAACGGTTTTCGGCGTACTTCGCAATAACCACGTTGTAATAGGGATGATGACTAATTTTTTTTTCTTCGTTTATCAGGTATATTATCAAAAAGTATTGGACACGTATTTTTTCTTTTTTCACATAATATAAACATTGCAGAGATATATTGATTTGAAAAGTCGCATGACGTCACGTTTTGGTACAATTTTTACTTAAAAGTGACGTCACGAGCCCCGAAAAAATGACAAAGTTATAGCGCGTCAAAGTTACTCCCAAACTTTGACGCGCTATAACTTTGTCATTTTTTGGTTGATTTGCCCAAAGAAAAAATAGGTGCCCATTATTTTTTGATCATCTAACTGACGGACTAAATATAATTTCGTTTACTGTACCCCGTCATCACCCCTATTACACACTCGGCTACCGTAAAGTCTAAAATTCTCGAACGACTGTGGATCTTATATCAAGCGAGACCATTCTAAAGAAAATTTTACTAGAAAAAATTGCGCTCTGTCCACATCATAGCGGTATAAGAATAGAGTAAGGGAGATATAGACTCTACTACAAGTGGAAGTGCCCCTCTAATAGAAAGAGAAAGAAGATGAGAGACTGCTAGCTATCTCTCTCTAATCGCGCATGCGCATTGGCTACCGTAAGCATCTTACTATTTCGATGTGATGCCATTGGATGCTATGCGTCACAAGATAGAGAGATAGCTAGCGGTCTCTCATCTTCTTTCTCTTTCTACTAGACCAGTGTTTCCTAACCTGTCCAATACTGCTACCCCTGTAACCTATTAGGAAAACAGACTTTAAAATGTTATCATCAGTTCGAGAAATTCCAATTTGGCCGCTACATCTTTGTCTCTAATAATGTCATCATCAGAAGAAAATCTCGCCCCGCTTCCCACACTCAGCACCCCGCGGGCTCGCTAGCAAAAAGGCATGCTCTATTTAGTAGTATTATTATATAGTACTAGCTGACCCAGCGAACTTCGTACCGCCATAAAAAAATAGGGGTTGATTGTAAAGGGGTGAAAATTTTGGGTTATATTTATTTTTGTATGATTTATCATAAAAAAATAAAAAATTATCTAAAATTGAAAAAAAAATTAGGGGTGGATTACCCTTAACATTTAGGGGGATGAAAAATAGATTACATCCGATTCTTAGACCTACCCAATATGCACACAAAATTACATGAGAATCGGGAAAGCCGTTTCGGAGGAGTTTAACCACAAACACCGCGACACGAGAATTTTATATATTAGATTTTCTTATTATTTAGATTTGACCAAATAATGAAGTTCTTTGTTACCCCCGAAGTATGGCTGATTTACCCCCGGAGGGGTAATTACCCCCAGGTTCGGAGCCCAGGTACTAGACGGACACTTTTAGATCCGCCTTCCCCAGTCTATTCTAATACCTCTATGGTCCACAGAGGTCCAAGCAGGAACTTTGACAGTTCCTTTCCATTAATCGTGTATCGTCATCGTCAAATATTGTATGGAAGAAACCAGTTCGTTCTTACGTCCGGTAGGGGGCGCTGTTTAGTTTTCATATAAACTTTGACGATTCGATGCGATTACGGAGCTGTTTAAAGTTCCTGCTTGGGGCTGTGGTATCAGGCTGGACTCGAACCCGCGCCTTCTGCTAACTGGCCGGATGCACTAACCAACTTTTCAAGACCGTAATGGCCGTGCCGAATTTCTTCTAGTATTTCTTAAATGGAACGTAGTTTGTAGTAAAATTTTTTTTAGATTTATAATGCGCAGAATAAGCGAGATAAAGCTTACAACCGTACACAGAGATGTCAATTAAATTTAATGCTTATTTAACATTACTTGTTTATTCTAGTTTGGCGTTTATTAAGGTGATATCGAAAGTTACAAATGTGACGTAAATAAAAATTACAAGTTAATTGTAGTCTCTGAGTACACTCGAAAAGTCAGTTGGAGAAATTTGCCCATTTTGTATTATAACTCAAGTCTGTCTGTCTGTACGTGAGACGTCAATTATTTTGCACTTTTTTATTGAAACAAAAAAAACAGGTCTGAATAAAGTTGATTACGCTCTTGGCATGAAAGTACATTATTTTATTAATAAATGTTCGCGTTTTACATAAACGCCCGAATTATCTTTGTTATTTTTTCGTTCTCTTCACACGGATTGGTTTACGAAAGGTTATGAGTATAAGAAAAACAGCAGTAATTTAAAGATTACTTTGTTAAATAAGGTCGAAAATTGAATGCACTATAAACTGGCAAAGGAAAGAAAGGAATTTTCTGTCCCTCCCTCCCCCCCTGGTGAGATGTCGTGAGATTTTATTCAACCCCCTCCCCCATCCCCCAATCTCACGTGAGATTTTTCAAAATGTCGGTTTCTTACGTAAATGCGTTGGATTGTTATTGTAAAAAGAAAGAAAAAAATGCTTATTGCTTTTATTTAAGACTAGTTAAGACTAGTAATCTATTGATTGCTGAGAATTATTTCTTACGAACGAATTAGTAGGTAAATGATCTTAATCGTATTACGATTACGCTTGAGATTAAATCTGAAGCATGTATAATCTGGATTAAATGGACCAAAATAGTATATATTTTTTTTGTTTCATTCAGAAAAAAAAATGGATGCGTGTAACTTATGTACGCGCGTGAGAAGTTATACTTCTTTAGCATCATTAAAAAAAATTTTTAATTGCATGCAAATAATTAATAATTACAATAAAATAATAAAAGGACTGGAAAAGGATAGTTAACACAGTCAACTAAGTTCAGTTTTAATTTGAAAAATTAAATAAATATTCAAAATATTCAATTAAAATCACTACTGAATTTAAGTTATTAGTCCATATGTAATTAGCACTTGTAAGTAACTAAAACACGCTGTGTCTATATAGAAACTAGAAACATGTGGATAAATATTATAAATATGAAAACAGTGATCAGAGGCGACGAGCGTGCCAACATTGTTTTTGACAACGCGATCATCTTATGGAGCTTCTGGATCGTTCAAAGTACCTTTCGAACAGATCGACTTAGTGGTTAATAATCCACCATTATTAGACACTAACATTCATAACGCGCCCGCGGCCAACTTCATGGTGTTACTATTGTGTTACAGTGATGCGCGCGCATCTCGAAATTTCACTCTCATCATTTTTTCATAACGCGCCTAAAGAAGTATAACTTCAAAAATGCGTGATATTTGCCGACCCCCCCCTCTCTCCAACGTAAGATTAGATGAGATTTGACTCGACCGCCTCCCCCCCTGAAACATCTCACGTAATTTATGGATGCCCCCAAAGTATGAATTGAACTCTCATACCAAGCGCTCCAATTCAATCGAAGAATCCGCTTTGAACCACCTCTTAAAGTATTATTATTATATCATCATCATCATCAGCCTCTTAATATCCCCACTGCTGGGGCGAAGGCCTTCCCTATGGATGGAATAGGGAGATGCCATGACTCACCACGCGTGCCCAGTGCGGATTGGTGGGTGCTAACGACTGCAGATGCAGGCGGGACCAACGGCTTAACGTGCCTTCCGAAGAACGGAGGAACTCGAGATAGAAGTTTTTGGTCACCCATCCAATGACCGACCACTGCGAAAGTTGCTTAACTGCAACGATCGCAGCCGAACGCGCTAACCACCTGCGCCATCGAGCTCCTCGTTATATATTAACGAAATATTTAAGGAAGCAGTGTTTATCCAAAAAAAAAACCACTGCCTTTATCTCCAATTGTATATATATATATATATATTATGTGTGTGTGTACAATATATACATATATGTACATATACATATTTCCTATACTAGCTATAAGAGAAAGAGAGAAAGAAAATGTGCGCACGCACTGCTTTCTCTTACGTATATCCCCCTCTTAACTCCCGTTTGCCTCTCCCGAACACACTTTTCGTATCGCGTAACGCATTCGCCAATTTACCCCCCAAGTTAGCGTGCCTAAAGAAGTTTCACTTTATAAATATTTGGTTATATTTTTTGTTATAATAACCACGTTTGGTATTTCGCAGAGGCGACGGATTTTTGGTCACGTAAGCATAGATTAATAATTATGAACTTGCAAACCAGTGAACCAAATGTTCACCAAAACCTGATTTAAAAGAAAAATGTATTTAATTAATTGAGAACTTCGGAGATTTTGTGTGGTTTCCTTTGAAATTCGTGATTTCTCGAAAACCGGAAGTGCTACGTTACTCAAATCCGGTTTGTAGTCTTATCAGACTATTCTTAACTTATAACTTAAACATTCTCTTTATCTATCTCTTACGGTTTGGCCGCTGAAACAGCACCACAGACAGACGGACGGACTTGTCTAATAGATAAGAGATAAATTGATATTAACGAACGGCCCTACCAACCGTAGATTAACTTCTAACCTCACAAGATGACAACTAAATAGATTTATATTTTTTTCATCCCACCACCTCGGAAAGTGTAATTTTGCGCTTCGAAATCTGGCTGGAAAATTCTATTTTATTCGCTTGAGCGGCAAAGTAGATTTGAATTTAGAACATCACATATAATGAGTACTCAATATAATTGTAAATTCAAAACGTCATTAAACCTATTTAATGTAACCTCTATGGTGCCAAATTTATGATTAGAACTTTTTAAATTGTGAAAAAATTTAAATTTGGAACCTTCTTGGTTTCTTTGTTTTATTTGCGTGCTTCGCGCCATTCTAGTTTTTCACGTTTTATTGCTTAAATATTTTGTCATTATAAATTGTTTTCTTTTTCATTTTGTCATTTCCTCGCTGAGGTGGGATGAAAAGTTACGTATTGCACTCGAGTGGAAAGATTTTTCACCTTGTGCTCGTTTGTTTCCCTCGCTGACGCTCAGGATTCTAATTTAGAATCACTCGCTGCGCTCGTGATTCAACTTTAGAATCCTTCGCTTGCTCGGTCATCCAAATCGAGCACGCGGTTAAAAAGGAACTTTCCACTCTTGTA